AGAGCCTTGGTTGCCGTTGGTGACATCATTATAGCCACGCCCTCGGTGTGTGTGTGGTTGTCTTCTGGGTGACCGGAGTAAATCACTGACTCACCTGTTGACAATTTGGTGAGTCCGTATCCGTTCCATCTGCTTTCGCAGATCCCCAATACTTGTAGTCCATATCTCCTCATTTCGCTTGCGATCTGGGCAGCTTTGCTAGTCTCGTACATGGTGCGGACATTCCATGTCCCCACACAGACTTTTTCTTTTGACGCAAGGAGACTGTTCACGCTGAAGTTTCTGAAGCAGGTTTGTTTACAGGGTGGGGTTGCTGGCCTCACGCCTGAGTTTAGTCTTTGGGTACCTGAAATAGAAGAAAGGTTAGTGTTGCGTGACCGCAGAGCCCAGGGGACATCTGCTTGAGGCCGGTCACACACGGCCTGGTGTGTCTCAGTAGCGTACTTATCACTTCTGCCCTGTGACACGGCAGCAGAAAGCGCGGTCGTTGTTAATCCGGGCCACGGCCGATCCGGCATGATATTTCTTGGATTCGTTTGGTTCATCGGGTTGGATTGTTGACGACTAAGTCCAGCCCCCACTGATACCGTCGCCAATGTATCAGTAGGTTGTGAGGTTTGACAAATTTGGTTGATGCCCGTTGCTACTATCAACGGAGCTACGCTAGGAACGGTGTGGCGACCCAAGTTATCTCCTACTGATACCGTCGCCACCGTCATATCAGTAGAAGTCCGGTTAAGCTGCCGGTCAGCCTCGGCTTCATTTTCAGCTCCCCGTTGTCGATAACATCGTGGATGAAATGAAAGAGCATATACATCCTAAGAAACTCTAAAATAGCAGATTACATCTTGAAATTAAAGAAGCATAGCTCCGCAATCGTAAGTCCTACAGGGACGAGACAGGTACCAATTGGTTCGTCTCGTCGAGAGGAATCCAATGGTATATAAATCAGAGGGTAAAAGCTATTCCTAAGAAGAATACGAGGGTTTTCCTGCCTAGCAGTCTCTGCCCCCCTGCTGCCCTATGGTTGGTAATGCCCCCTAGCTACATACACAACGGCATACAACCTGAGGTCGCGGAGCTAAAAGATGTCAAGAGAACAGCCAGCGGCATGAACTCTAGGCCTAGAAACAGGTTTCCCCTGTAGCCTTTGAAAAAAATTCCCTATTCGGCTGAGGAGAAGCTATAAGGTGTGAAACCGGTACCAATGGGTAGATTTCGTCGAGAGCTATCCATTGATATATAGCTTCCCTAAGTCCTAGCCTCCCTGTAAAAATTTTGGCAGCATAACCCCAGAGGGCCGAAGCCCAGATATCAAAGATCCTGAGGAAGGCTGAGGAGAGGCTACAAGGGTCGAAACCAATGTCAAAGGATAGATCTCGTCGAGAGCTATCGATTGATATATAGCTTTCCTATGCCAGAGCATCCCTAAACAAACTATGACCGTATGGTCCCTAGATGCCCCAACATAGTAAACATGAAGCTAAAACCTAGCCTAAACATGAAAACTACTAATAAAAATAATATAAAAAAAATAAAATAAACTTTATGTGTAGCACAGAATAATAATCCCCAAGCCTTGTTACATCTACTTCATAAAGCCTCACAGTTTTCAGTCACGCTTATACCTGAAAAAGAAGGGAGCAGAAAAAGGAAAACACTTTCTACAATCGTATTCATATGTGCTTAGGGAGAACAAAAAAATGGTATCATCAGCTGTTCTGATTTGTTAATTATTGTATCATAAATATTATCCAACTAGTATTGATTCACTATTTTTATTTATTTATTTATTTATTTGGTTTTACTGCATACACTAGTGTGTTTTGGCAATACATGTAGATAGATAGATAGATAGAAGTAGAAACATAAGTGTTCTGATAACGTACATGTGTGTTTAGAGGTGCATAGATGTATAAATAATATAACAGGGTGGTGGTACTGGTGGTGTTTAGTGTTACAGTTTTAAGATATTTGCAAATTTACACACTATTCTTGTTCATTGCTCATTTCATGAAGTTGTAAAAAGTCTTTGTTTACAATATATATATGTGTATATACATATATATCTATACTAAATATTTACGAATGTACTTTTGTCTCATGCATATAATTTACTCGATGTTCACTTTTAAGAAAAGTCTCATTTTTAGTTTACATATATATATTATAGTTATAATTCATATGTTTATTATTATGATTATTATTATTATTTACGACATATATTGTAATTTGAATGCCTAAATTTAGTCATTTATAAACGATGCTGTTATCCTGACTGCCTTGTTCATTCTCTCCCTCTCTCTCTTTCCGTCATGTGCGTGAAGGTTATTCCATTGTTGTGTATATCGTTTCAAATGTTAACCATGATGACGTTTAAACAATTAGTCTTGTTAAATATGTAAAGAGGAGTATTTGTTATTGGAATTGAGTCTCCCTCATCAAGCGGATTGAATGGGGCAGGAATATGAAGTGAATCATATAGTATTATTATAATGATTATTTAGTTAGTATAAATACGGGCGGGATTCAATACTTCCGGTGTATCCCAAATTCTTATCGCAATCTCATTCAACAGGTATGTATGATAATGCCACACATGTCAAGGTATCTACAACGGAAAACTCACTGAAACGTTTGAAGGGAATACAGGTGTAGGAGAAGGCAGTCTGTTTATTATTACAGATAATATTCCTAATTGTGGTGGACTGGATTATGCGTCAAATTGTTAATGGGAGTGAGAAGACAAGGATGCGTTGGACTGATAAGAAAAGATCTGCATTTCGCGGGTGATTTGTGTACAGTGTCACACAAACTCGAAGACTTACAAGCGCAAAGCAACAAACCGGCTGAAGAGGCTGGCAGGAAGGGCAGGACTTCATGTAACTTATAGAGAAGACAGAGATGATGAAGATAACCCAGTAACAACAGCAACAACAAGCGGCACCAATCACCATTAACGAGAGAAATTTGAAAGAGATAACTTCCTTGACTTATCTAGGCAGCATCGCTTCAACTATAGAGAGTCAATACGCATGAGGATGTCAAAACCTTAATCGGAAAGGCAGGGGACACCTTCATCACTCTGAAATCAGTGTGGAAATCTTTTGAATTCAACATAAACAGTAAGATTCGGATTTTAAACCCCAATTTTATGTCACTTACTTCTTCTAAATGGGTCGGAAACTTGGCTTACGCGTCATAAAAAGCATTTCGAACTGTCTGCAAAATTTTATCAACAGCTAACGTCTCTGGCTCTATACCGAAGATCAAGTGGTCACAAAGAATTAGCAACAAGAAAATATAGGAATGAACCAACCAAGAACCTATTGCTCAGCAAATATTCTGGAGAAAATGGAGATGGATAGGACATACACTGAGTAAACCGTTTAGTGTCATTGTGCTCCAGGCCGTCGCTCGAGTGGAATCCGAATCGGAGACGACCAGTTGGGATTTGGTCCGAGGGTGAAATGGAGGAGATCATGTGAAGAGGAGATGAGAGACTACGGGCTAGCCAGCTAACGCGAAAGGAGGGAAATGGAGATGTGCTGTTGAAGCCCTATGCTCCACTCGGAACCCATGGGAACTATACTTATACGGGATATTTTGAGTAATGAATCTGATGTCATCACAAGAATGTATATCGTCTGTTGTGTTACTGGCATCATTAGTAAACATTTGTGTAAACTTTGCGAAGTTACATCAGACGCAATAGGTTGATCGCTGACGAAATCTCAGCACGGATACAGAAGGCTCTTTTGGCATTTACTGACTTAAGTCATATCCGGCTGGCTATCGACTAATGGGCGTGTGTACTGCTCAGAAGTTCGCTCTGTCCTCCTTTATGGCTGGCTGTGAGACGTGTTCATTGAAACTGGAAGACTTGAAAAGGCTTGCTGTCTTGGATCATAGGTGACTGCTTTCTATCTCCCGTGTGAAGTGGTATAACAGGGGGAGCAATAGTGAGGTTAGGCCTCGGTCGAATGGAAATCAATCAATGAAGTTGTGAAGTTACACCGATTGATATTGTTAGGACATCGGTTGCGCATGCTTAGCCATCTTCTTACTCGGCAATGGTCAATGTTAGCTGACATAGGATCAGGTTGGAAAAGAGCTAGTGGCATCAGTCAGTGAAATCCACAGCAGTTAGTTTAACCGGTCCCGTAGAGAGGTGTAGACTTCCTGGTTGGAGTCTTCAGGATGGTAAAAACCAATGACTGGAGACAATTGGTGATATATGGCTCAAAATCGTTTTCAATGGCTGGTGCAGATGCATTCACGCTTTGTGATTGATAATATCCAATAAAATTCTATTGGTCTTCCATATTACTATTCTTTTCGCCTAACATTTCTATTTGTTATCTCTCTCTCCTTTGAATCTCCCTTTACCCTCTACTCTTGGTTTGTGTGCTACAAGGAGGGAGTGTGGCAACTCGAACTGCTGCACATCTGTACAAAGTTCTACGTTGAAACCTGTCAGTCAGTCCGTCAGTAAACTTTAATTTGGTGTATTTTCTTAACACAATTCCCATGAATGTAAGTGTAGAACTTTGGCACTGTGGTAGAATGTAGTTCCATGCTAGATAAGTTTATTTTAAATATCACACAGTGATGCAGTATTAATAGCCGGATGAAGTTTGGAGCATAAATTATTGCTCATCCAGTTATGAATACTGTATCACTGAGTGATATTCAAAATAAACTTGTCTAATATGAAAATTCCCATTGTTGAATTTCAACCGTACTTAGATTTTAGCTGATTGGTTGGTCATTTAGTACAAAGCTAATAACAGGTGGTAACAACAGATTGGTGCATGAGCATAGATTTTATCCCCTTTTCCTCTAAAGGCAAGTGATGTGAGCAGCACTCATACGCCAGCTGGCGTATATTTTACATGAAGTTGGTAATTTCAGTATTTGATTTATCTTTTCAACACACTTTTGACCTTTGATGTACGTTCTGTATATGTTCTTTTGACATCTTTTGTTTTCCACTTTAGCTTAGTAATGCAAATGATCTTGCTCATCTATCATCGGAATTCGATAGTGCTACATCGGTATTGAGTAGTCCGGCGAAATGTGGGATGTTTATTGACTACTTGTTTTCTCACAAACGGGATCCTTCATGGGTGGTGAGTATTCATGTTTTTTTTTGAATTATTTATTTAATGTCAATGTAGTGGATGTTTGGCTAGTTTTTGATGCAGTATTTATATTCATCCAACGTGTACCAAAATTTCTACCAACTTGGAAATGTTATTTCCTGCAGTTTAAATTCATTTAGAAGGGTTTTTTCTACATTATGCGTAGTCCTATTTTTAACTACCCAACCTGACTCGTTGTGGCCTAAACACAGGAAGCCGATCTCGACTGACGAAACTTCCTTTAGAAACGCACAGACATAAAGAGATCCCAAGACTGGCTATTCGTCGATGAGTCTTTTGTTCTACTCAACAATAATAACATCAAAATCTCAAAATTACCTCAACATTGCCATTAGCCAGCTACACAGACATGATACTTTCTTAAGTACAAAACAAGTACTGTAGAACAAAATCAGCTAACCAAAACTCAACTGTAAGAAGTACCTGAAAATCAGGTGAAATATTCCCAAAATGGTTGGATCAAAACTCTGTCCACAAGAATCACAAACTAACCATTCTCACAGACAGTTCAAGATCAGAGTGACCTTCATCTTGACCATATATCCTTACTTGGGTACCTTAACCCTACCAATGAATTTCATATTGAAGCTTGAAAGCGAACTAGTAGTGTGGTGAGAGCTATCTACTAGCCAAATGGGTAGACAGTAATTTACGTCAATATTTACGTTCCCAAGATTTGTCGTGAGAAAATGTGAACAAAGATTGATTCAAAACCGACCACAGCATACTTTGCGTAGGCGGATGCAGTTAACATATAGAGGATTTGACATTCAAGAAACAGTCACAAATAGATGAAAGATTAAGTTTACGTGAGAAACAACCAATCGGAAGACTGTGTTTGTTTACTTAAATATCCATAGTAATGTACATGAAAATATATAAATATGCGTTGATTTCCTTAATAAATGACCTGTTGCCTGACTCTTGCCTTCTGTCGTTACAGTAGACCACTACAAACAATGTATGTGATAAATTTCAGAAACATATATCGTCATGAACGATCAGCTTCGCTTAAACTAATTTCTTTTTTCATTCCTGTACGTTCCCAGTGGAACATAGGACTTCAAGCTAGAGGCTTGAAGTTTCAGTAGAAATGGTGTTTATTTTTACGGGATAGGGTTGCCAGCTTCATGCCCAACCTTCCCTCTTCACCAGTCTTATTACTGGTTTAGCGAGATAAAGGAGTGCGTCGACCGGGGATGGAACTCCGGACCGCCACGTGTGTGGTTGGCGAGCATTCTACCTCTGTGCCACTGAATGATTAGCTTTGCTTAAACTGATGAATCACCTAAATATTCATTCATCATAATGTAAAAAAATTCCCTTCTCTATGTATTGTTTTAGTCATCGCATTTTTGTCTCTGCAACCCGTCAACAACTGTTGTACACTTATAATCAGCTTTCATTTTTTGTGGTACTTATAACTCCTCGATAGAAATGGAAGAAAAAATGACGCAGAGGATTGGATTTTACTTTGGGATGGAATAATGCTATTTTACATACAGATCCTATACAAAGCGTGAATCTATTGCAGTGTAGATATGTTGAGAATTATGAACTACTTGTCAACGCGTTGTCTAGGTTACCATCGTTATTATTATTATTACTATTACTATTATTCTAGATGGCCCAGATAAGTGGTGGGGGTGGATGTATTTGGATAAAACAATTGTCCACTTCCTGTCTCTTTCTAGTGCTCTTTAGGTGATTAGAATTGGAAAAAATAAAACGCAAAGATTTCTAGTAGCTTAGATTTCTACAATTATTATTTCGTCTAGTACCACGATAAGTTTCACAATGTATTTTTTTCATACATCTTTCAACTCCTTATATCATCTAACAATGTTCAGGCATAAATCAATATTTTCCTGCCTATCGTATATTACTTTTTAGCTATTCTATCTTGTCAATCAATATTTTCAACGATCTATGGCTGCATCTAAAGAGTTGTACAAAGATGAGAAACGTGTATGCCTTGAGATATTTACAACATTTCTACACGAAAAATCTGTAAGTGACTATTTGTTTGCCTTTATTTAATGCGTCAGCCTCATTTGGTGTGACGATATCGTTTGATTGTCTCTCTCTATCTCTCCCCCTTATGTTTATGCGTCGTAGGAACGTCATACTTTTTCATTATGACAATAAGGTTTTGTGAGTGTTCACCATCAATCAATCATTGTACCATGTATAATTTTGTATCTATACTTTTGAGTTTGCACTTTTTTATTGATTTTAATGTCAAATAAATATTTTTTTTCTTCTTCTTCTTACTCGGTTTAAGTGTGATAGCTTCACTATGGGTTGACTTCTAAAAATTATAAAGTGCTTCAATTAAGCAGTTCCAGTATGCGTTTAATTCAGTTTATATGCCTATTAGTGTGTTAACCGCTTGATCACTATGTAACGAACAAAATCGACACGTAGTAGCTTGAACTCAGGAAACTGATCTTTGCGTTCTGCTGTATAGCTAACCAGAACTTCCTTGAGTTACGCTCAGTCGCAAAATACACTGACGACAGCATAAAGACAGTTATTACCTTAACAATGTCGTTAGGCAGCTATCCCGACTGATAGCTACTACCTTGAGTGGTGGTCGGACTTGCATATCGCAGTCATCCCAACAAGCTTCACTGACTGGAACTAATGTTCCTGCTGGTCCTACCATGCCACAAAGATACCGATTAGACTAAAAGCAGTTACTGGAATAGTGTAAGATTTTTTCTACTCTATACTAGGGGTCTGTGGACAGAGTCGTACTGCTGGGGAATAGGGATTTAACAACAGTAAGGTTTTTCCCTCAGATGACCAGCATGCCAAACCATGCTGTCTCTCCACTCTGGAAAGAGGGGGTTGGAGAAGTTCGACCCCAAAAACTATCCATTCCGACTTACCCTACGGTGGTCCGTAACCGGTGGTAAGTTTACTTATACGGAACCATTCCAAGAAACCAGTTCATACAGGCTGTGTGTCACCTGGGCTCTGCGGTCATGCAACACTAGGCAGCTGCACAGATGCAGTTCCTCTTCGATCAAAAAATAAGTACTGTAGAATAAAATTATTTAACAATATCAACCATAAGAAGTACCTTAGAATCAAGCAGATAATTTCCAACAAGGTGAGATCAAAAGTCTGTCAGGAAGAATCACGCATTAAGCAATTTTCACACAAACTACAAGATCAGAATGACTTTGACTCACTCAAACAAAATCGCAGCCGTAAAATAACACGTCAATGTCATCATAAAACCACAAAGAGTAGCATTCAAAGAAGAGAATAAACAAAGACGAATGATAAGGGCCTAGTCAATAGGTGATACGCAAATGTTAGGAGAAGAAAGCAGTTAGTTGAAACACACAATTAAGTATCAATATTGTAATTCGGTGACATACTTCTATCCTCTTTCTCAGCCTCTACATTTTGCTTTCTTCAATTGTGTATTAGTGTGTATTGTTTGCGTTTTAGTGAAGTTGTTTTCTTTTGCCAACTTAAGCACATAACTTTCAATCAATGATCTCGGATAGGAAATTTTATTCGACATATTTTCAATAGTAAACGTAATCAGGTTAGCACATAAAAGGAAGTTCTTAACGCAGTACCTTCTACTTAAAAGTTACAAAATCTCACACCTTTCCATGTTTTAGTATTAAAGAAACATTCTGATGTGTTCTAACTGTTGTATTGTAACGGGAGAAGATAAGGGACTTAATAACGGCCTTTAATTAAGGAAAATCACATCGTATTTGTACATTTGCAGTCACATTAAAGATCAGTCAGGTTGATGAAGAATAAACTATCCTGATTGGTTGGTGATCGGCTCAAGGTCAAATAAGTTGTCCAATGAGGTTATTTCATGTACACAGCGTAAACTAAACACAGATTTGAAGAATAAACGCTTCTACCTCTGCAATCAATCGTTGACTTAAAATATTGATTTCAATTTTGGCTGCTTCCTATTAATTTGTATTACGACACAGTATCACTTATACTCTTAGATCTAAGTTTCAAGTATTTATCAGGGATATAAAAGGTGGGAAGACAATGAATCGTTTCCTGTATTATGCAAAATGTTATGATAATTTTCAATTCACGTAGAAAATCTCATGATGAATTGATGGAGTAGTCTGTGAAGATTATATGTTACTTGTCTCCCAGGCCTTTATATAAGTAATGGTCATCTTTTTAGTTGCCTCTGTCTTTTATATATATATTGTAAGTAGTTGAGCTGAGGTTACCTTGGTAAGAAATAATTGTTTTAACTGTTCTATTAGTTTTGTTTTGTTTTATTCGAAGTATACATACACATATGCCATTCGGCATTGTTGTCACTCATTTTCACTCGCTTAAAACATTTCACAAAAAAGTACATCCTACTGTTATCTGGTAATTCTATAAATTTTTTTTACTTTGTTTTTCTTTCGGTGGGTAGTGGGGGGGAGTTAAGATGGAGGAGGCGGTCCGTTAACAATTTTTTACTTATAAATTTTTACGTTTCATAGACAAAATGGAAAGAACGAAAAAGTAGCTGTCAATTTTTACGTAAATAAATGAATAGAAAGTCTTATTTGTCTTGTTTATACTGTTATATACTGCTGCTCCTAACACATCTAAATGGCATAGTGTAGAGACAGCAGGGGGGAGTGGGCCCAGTTACCTAGATCAAAGTGTTTAGAAATTCAGATATGTTGCAAGCGCACCATTAAACACATCACTGCTAAGATACTATTCATCAATTAAATTGTGTAGAAGACGGTTTTTGCGAATGTCTTGTCCTCTAAATGTCTAGCTGAAATGGATTAAAGAATATTTGAATACAAAACAAACCTGAATATTGCGGTGTTTTTTTATCACCTTTAATACACCACTAGTTCATGAATAAATAACTTTGCAGTTAACTTAAACAATTCAGAGTTGTGCATAGAAGCTCATGCATCATTGTTGCTACACAACTATAGATAAAGGCTTCATTAACACTGAACCATATTGCTGAATGCTCCTAGTCCCTTGGCCATCCCTTTGGCACACTAATCTTCTCCTGTCAACACATCTATTAGAGACGTGGTTCATTGGCTTGAGCACTTCCCATAGATCCCGAGTCCGAGTCCCGCTCCACCTTCTTCAGCCGGAGTAGTATCAACAGCCCTCACAAAATAAGTATAGCTCATAACCTGGGACATGGAAGACCTGTTTTAAGGGATTTTTGAATTCAAGCACAAGCACACTGCTTATAACATCTATCGAGGATTGATTTGATATTGAATTAGTTGTGTTTAGTATAAAACCTGAGCTGAGGATGTTGTCCACAAGAATGACGAAAGCTTTGCAATTAAATCAACGAGCTAAGAGAATACAACTAATTCAAAATCATCCACTTGAGCTACAAATCTTCGCTATTATTGATTTGATATTTTGGTATAATCTGAACATCCATCAAGCGCCTAAAACCTGATTTGTGCGTTCAGAAAGAAGCAGTTATCAGTCTTTCTTTGCCCTGGTAACTGGATATTTTTCATCCGAATGCGAGATACTGAAAAGTTTTCATTTTGTATGATTATTATTGCTCGGAATTGTGTTCAATATTGCATATATATATATGTATATATTATTAGTGTATGTGTATATTGATCGATTGATTTCTGTTTAAAATGAACTCTGTGCAAGATACATTTAGATACATTTAATAATGTTTTTGCCCTGTAGGCAGCTGAAGAGAAGGCGACGAAATAAAATATGGTACCATTTTATTCTGCTAAAACAGTAGTTGTTGCTTTGTTCAAAAATCAAACAGGCTTACAAAGCGGAATTAGTTTGTATGTTTATGTTGATTGACACTATTTCCTTTCGACTTATCCTTAAAACTTTTTATTCTAATATTTCATATTCATTGTCTTGTTGTTATTTTTCTTTCAGCCTTTACGTTTAGACATAAGAACTCCAATTTCACTAAAGTCATTTGACTTTCATGAATGCTCAAAGTTGTTCAACACTATTAGTCAGACATGCTTGAATCAAATACAGACACAAGTTTCCAAATTGGCCGAAGCCATTAATCTTGGTTAGTTTCATTGGTGTTAATGTTTTAAACATAGTACAGTATTTTCTGTAGTTTGGTTTGTAAGGGTTAGTTGTGTTTTTACGAGTTGATCATTGATTGATATCAGTTAGAGAACCGTTGAAAACCAAGGAGTATTGGACAGCTGTTTCATCCTAGTTTGAGAATCATCGGCAGTACGCACCCACCGGGTTTCGAACCCAGGACATTGGTTGGTGATTGCGCTAAATATCATGAATTAGTGTAGAAGTTAGAATTCATGCACTGGCCATTGAATCAGATCTCAGTGGCTGAATGATATACGAGCTTGCCTTGTAACCGGAAGGTCCTGGGTTCGAATCCCCGTGGTGGGTGTGTACTGATGAAGAGTCCCAAACTGGGGCGAAACGGATGTCCAATACTCCGGTGCTGGTTTTCAATTCTTCTCTAACTCATATCAATCCGCAGTCTAACTTGATTACTCCTTTGACAATCGCACGTGATTTTTCAATTGAAAGTTTAATTCACTGCTAAATAGTTCAGTCTAGAGATTATTTTTCTCATTGTGTATAATGATTTACTATGCTTACCTACCTACTATTAGGACACTTTAACATACTCTTGATCTACATTAAACACATGCAATGTGTCCAATCGAATTACCTTACCTTGTCTATTGAAGTACGCTTTGATATACCAACATAGGTTGTGTTGGTTTGTGATCACTTAATATACAGCCTTTAGTATTTTAAAGCATTAAGGCTCAGTTTATACTTTAAACATTGATCATTCCACTGATTTGTAGGCCGTGTTAGTCTTTATTCACTAAATACAACAATATATATGTATATGTATGTTGTTAAACTGTATACTAGATTTAATCGCAAAGTTCTCTCTTTTTACTTGGCTTAAATCAAAGCACAACAACTACAGAAACATGTATAATTTATGGTGTTTGTGTTTTGGCTTGTACCTGTGGTTGTGCTCCATTGAAGACAAAAAAAGAAATGAAGTTACCTTTTTTGTCTCTTAACTTTTATAAAAAGTATCATGTGATTCGGTTGAAATCAGCTACAGCGTTAATGTGAATATGTATTTTAACTAATCAAATCATCTGAGCTACGTTTATTATGTTTATTAAATTCTTGTATTATCTTGGAGAAGAGAATTGATTTTGAAATTAAGCAAAAACAATAGTTTTTTTATTACAGCTTGATTCCACACCGTACTTTTTGGTACAGGTATGGAATTTTTGGCATGTGATATCGGTAGCCCAAATTTTGCAGGCCGACCATAGATACTAGGTGTGCGTCGGCAGGGGATCGAACGTCGGACCATGTGCATGGTCGGCGAGAGTCCTAACCTCTGTGCCACCGACGCACAATGGTGCGCCAATCACCTGAAGGAATTGTTAAGGCTTGTGTACAGAACAATTTTAATACACTTGCAAAATGTTACATAACGTCAGTTGGCACGAGACTCCAAACTTCATAAAAAGCGCTCAGAGAATAACACTCATACAGTCTATACTCAGAAAGTCCAAGTATAAACAAAAATAAACTCTTGGATACAATGGCAATAGTTATGTAATAAGATTATAAAAAGCTAGCAAACTGAGTAACAATATCGTGAGTTCAACTCAAGTCACAGAAACTAGAGACAAGCAAAGTTTTACTATATCAAGGAGGGTAGAGGTCTGAACCCAAAGATCACTCAATCAAATGAAAGGGAGACAAAATACTGGGAAGTACTTCTTCCTGAACACATCAATCAGGTTTCAGTCGTTTGGTAGTAATTGCTTCGCCAGACTTAAGGAGAATTGAACTATATTGTCTATTGATGTGATGTCCATCTCATGACTCGTATTGATGAGATGTTTGGCAATCGCACTATTGTAATTGTTTGTCCCCTTGAGATGCAGGCGTTTTAATATCTGTTCAGAAAACCAAAGGTGTATTTTTCTTTCCGTTCTCCCAATGTAACTGCTACCGCAGATATATGTAAATTTGTATACGCAGTTAGAGTTAACATGGGAAGAGTATCTGTTGACTTTGGGTTGCACCGAAGCGCATGTTGTCTCTACTGTATAACACTCGCTATTGTACCCGAGCAGTTATTTTTGTCTAAACTTAAACTTTCTGGTTATAGAATGTATAAGTGTAGTTTCTGAGTACCTGTTGGAGTGTCTCCTGTCAACTGACGTTATGTAACATTTTGCAATTATGTTATAATTGTCCTGTACATAAGCTTAATAATTTCTCTAGGCTATGTGCAGCTGATGAGAGAAGCCGACGAAATAATAATATAATTTTTGCTTTATTCCAAAAACAGTACTAATGTTACAGCAAGGAATTTTCAGCATTCAGTACAATATTGCATCTAATTTACTCAAAACGACAAAAAAACATAGATAAAAACATTACATAATAATAATAACAAAACGTTGTTGTAGCAGCTATGTAGCAAATAGCAGTATGCGATAAGGAGAAAAATATGCATTAAGTATAAAATTATAGTAATAATAGTAATAACAACTGAAATAAAATAGCAAAGTTATAATTAAACGATAGAAAGGGTGACACCATAAAATTACAGAAAGATGAACGATGAAAGGGTCGATTCACTTTGCTAATTACATAGTAACTTATATGGTGTACTATCTTATTATGCACAAACTGTTGTAGTTCCATATTGATTTGTTTATTAGATGTATCACACAGTGAAACAGTATTATTTACTGGAGGACGAGGTTTTGAACAAAATTTATTGTTCATAATCATATCAATTATCAAAAATAATTGATATATTATATTAACAAACTGTTATCCTTGCTTTATTCATATTTATAAAGGGAAATAAGTGGTATGAGTGGAGTAATGATGATGATGATGGCCAGAAGGGCATCTAACCTTTGAATTTCATTTAACTGGTTTCAATATTTTTAAGAATATTCTTTCACTATATAACTAAAAACGTCTAAATCTGGGAGGTTTAACTGGTATTCGTATCGTATCGATCAGTTCATTGATCTTTTGATTATTGATCTGAATTCAATCATGCATCAGTTTCATTTAACTCCTACTAAAAAACATTCTAGTTTTTTATGGTTTTAAAAAACAACAGCTTCATCTACTAATTCTCTCTATTAAGTCGCAGCTATATTAACTCCTTGTATGCTACACATTTTTCGTGAAAATTTATATATTTTTTTCATGATTTTTGTTTCTACTTTCTTTTTCTTCTTCTTTATCAGGTATGGATACTTGGTGTCTTTCAGAGCCAATCGATTTTCTTCTTTTTCATAATAAAGAAGAAGAAATAGCCTGTTTTGAATCCCGTCTAAGTGGTTACCTTGAATCCCTGTATCAATTAGCAATAGGTAATTGTACAGAAAACTCGATAGCTTATAGCATTTGTCGATTGCCGACTACAACATCGTCATCAACATCCTCATCGTCATTATCAGTTACAAGTGAACAAATTGCTCAAGCTATAACCAGTTGTCTGGTTACAGCTCATAAGTTTTATTCCATGCCTCGTTTAACAAGTGCAGATTATCCTGAAACTAGGGATACTGGGCATTCCATTAGACATAGTATTTTTGCAAGGTGAGTGTTTTTTTTTTCAAATTAGGACTCTGAGGTAATTTTAAATGTTTAACAGGTTGAAATTCTGGTCCCTAAAGTCTAGCATAATAAGATTAGAGTTAGAAGTTGTAGATATATCCTGCCATAGGGTGGTTTCAGAGCACAATACAAGCGCGCACTCATCACTTCTTCAGTTTCCACCTTTATTTCATGGATGGTGACTTGGAATAATGTTCTCAAGTATTGGTTTTGTAGGGATTTTCTTTAATTGCATGGAGGATTTCATCATTAGCTGACATCAGTTAGAGAACCACTGGGAGTACTGGACAGCTGTTTCGTCCTAGTTTGGGACTCTTCATCAGTACGCACCCACAGCCACGGTTTGAACCCAGGACCTTCTGGTTACTAGGCTAGCGAGCTCGTAGACCATTGAGCTACTGGGACCCGATCCAATGGGGCCGATCCATTGACTGCTCAAACCTCGGTAAATGGAACGGGATTCAAATCCATAACCCCAGTGGTTGGAAGTTGAATGTCTAGTCCAGTGAACCAAGGCTTTACATTTTATGTACAGATTATTAATGAATGATAATCACCTGTTCAACATTTCAATAGACTTTCCAAGTGTTGGTGTACAGTGAAAACAAGGGAATACTAGACAGTTATTTCTCCCCTGTTTGACACTGTTCATCTGTTCTTATCCATGACCCTACAGGGGATCGGACCCAAGACCTTCATGTTACTAGGTGAACTTGGTGACCATTTATCCACTGGGATGTAATCCAATAGCCTAAATCGTGAATATATTTGAGTCATTTCTGCGGGATTCTCGTCACAACATGCAGTTATTTTATGTGATTAGATACCATCGTCACTGTTTTTCCAACTTATTTGCAAACCTAACCAAAATTGACATTCTTCAAGTATCTCCCTCTGTCTGAGCAACTTCGTTGATTATTTTTTCAGTAAGCAGTATGTTGTTCACTTTGGATTAAGTGTTAGTTACTTTCAAATGCAAAATGTCTTTTCGTACTGTGATGCTACTCGAAGGTATTGACATTCTTGTAAGCTGCATATAAGTATACAGAAATACTAACTCATGTATTCTAATTTACTTAGAGACCTCAACAACTTGCAGTAATTAATCCCCAGAATTCAATTCTATGACAACATTTATACAACATCTTAGTCGAAAACTTTTCGATCGGAAACCAAAACTTGACAGAGTAACTTGGATAAGTAGAAGAGAATTTTTTCTTAAATCGTTTCATTTTCAATATTCAACATTTAATTTTTGCTGTTTCTATCGGGCTGTTTATTTTTCTTTACACACTGTATGTAATAAGGTCTTTTGAAAATTTAACTTCATCTGCATTGGGTAATGCAGTCGGCCTAGGTAACGTGTCTGGTAGTATTGGGACTGGTCTTTCATCTGCTGGTTCAAATTTATGGACAAAGTTAACCCCCTATTGTGCTAAAGCGAAACAGAAATCACATTCTTTATTAAATCGTAAAACAAAAGTAAGTAATTCTAGTTGGTTAGTTTGTTTGCTATTGTTTTTTCATATTTAATTGTTCGATGCTACCATATCTCGTATTAACTGCGCCTTTGGCCGTAACTGTTTTTTTTTCAGTACTGATTTTAATGTTCCCATTGAATGTTTTTTTTATTATTATCAATGTGTTAATATTTGTCACAGCTGGATTTCTTCAGTTATACTGGCTAGAACTTTTTGTATATAGTTCATTTTCTCTAGTTATATAACTTCTTTCTCAACTTACACGTTTTGCATACTTCTTGCCATTATATTTTCTAAAGTCTTGATTATTTTATTTCGAGGAAACTATCGCTTTAACTTTAGCCAAGTGACCTTATAATATTTTATCTTTGTAAATAGGTCTCTTACGTATGTCGTAATTTCTATGTATAGAAGTTGGTAGAATGTCTTGCATTGTTACTAATTTCTTTTGTAATTCCTATATTATTATTACTATTCCCTTGGATTCCGAGTGAGACATGGGGCTTCAGAACCACCTCTTCACAGCACTAGGGTTCTCTTTAGTCTTGGCTGGCTCCACAATTGCCCATAACCTTTCATTTCCTCTTCACACGATCGCCTATGTGTCACCTTTGGACTCATGTCAAACCTGTCGTCTCCCAACTGGGTTCCACTCGAGAGCCGCCTGGTGCACTGTGTCATTCAGTGGTCTTTTTAGTGTCTGTCCAATTCTTCCCTATTACTGATTTAGTATTGTTGAAAGTTCGGATCTTGTCCCTAATAATATAAGAGTAGAAATTAATCACTGTGGTAGAGTATAATTCCATATATGATAAGTTTATTTGATATAATTCATGAACAATCCCCATTCAGACATTAATGAAAACAAAACACGTAGTTCATCGAAGAGGGTCTTTTCGGCGATGTACATTCTCTTTTAAAAATAATTTTTTGTCATGAAAGAGGGTAATAATAAAGTTGGTTGCAACGATCAGTGTTTCAGGCGAACTGTAGCAAAATATCGCTATAATGAGAAGCGTCGGTGGCACAGTGGTTAGGACTCTCGCCGACCATGCACATGGTCCGGGGTTCGATCCCCTGCCGGCGCACACCCGATATCTATGGTATGCCTGAATTTGGGCAACCGATATCCATGCTGAAAATTCCATACTTGTACTGAAAATACGGTGTGGAATCAAGCTGTAAATCAAATAAAAAAAAAATAGAATAAAATAAGGGTATTAGAGTTACGTAATAGGATGAATAATTTAATGAATGAGTTGTAATCAGGTTGTACATAGAAACGAAGGAAAATATGGTACCATATAAGAGTTATAAGGAGTTGAAAAAAAACAAGTCAATAGAAATCAATAAGGTTGTTACCACATTTTAGAAGTGGTTGAATAATTCTCCTTTCTTATGCATAGCTCTGGTTTTTCTAACTGAATGGCTTAGGCTTCATCAGTGCAAAGGAGACGAATTCATATTGAGTTTGGTAGGTCGTTCTTCTCTACATAGATCACTTTGAAGGAGGCGTTTATTGAGATGGAATGACCAGTGTTGACATCGTGCCCGATTATCGCACTCGTTACAGAGCCACTACTGTCTTTCTGCGACCATGCAGGATAGGGTTCTTAAACCCTATTAGACAGATTACGCGTCGAATGACCAATATACCTGGCACCACAGCAACAGGTGAATTGGTTTACGTAAATATACAAGTGGGCAGATGCTACATCTTGTGCTTAAGGCTTCTTCAGACCAATGATATAACACACTGTTATTAACACTGAATCACTGTGTATTATATCAAATAAACTTATCTAAGAGTCATTATGTTGTGAAATTGTAAAGGTTATTTTCTCCAAATTTTATTTGACTCATTGTGTTAGAGACTAATACGAGAATGACAGTAAGCATCTATGTTCTACCGAGAAATAGAATGAAACCATTCACTGAGAATTATCGGTATTATTTTCTCAATGTAATAGTTTGTTAACTAAGCTTTGGTACAATGATGATGGCTTCATTACGAAATCACTGTCTTTCATTCAAAAACGAAATCCATTGATGTTAGATTAAAAGCAATCAACTCGTAGTTCTACAGGATTTCATCATGAGCTGACATTGGTTAGAGAACCATTGGGGTTCCAGTAGGAAGTCGTGACCAGCAGATCGGGTGTGAGGACAAATATTCGCCGAAGACATTGACTAGCGGTTGCGCTATGTCGTGAATTGTCAGAAGTTAGAATTCAAGGGTTGGTCATTGGATCGGGTCCCAGTGGCTTCATGGTCTACGAGCTCGCCTTGTAACCAGAAGGTCCTGGGTTCGAACCGCGGTGGGTGTGTACTGATGAAGAGTCCCAAACTGGTGGGACGAAACAGCTGTCCAATACTCCCTGCAGGTTTTCCAATGGTTCTCTAACCAATGTTAGCTCATGATGAAATCCTGTAACCAATCAACCAAATCCCTACAAACCAATACTTGAATATTATTGATTTTAATGAATAAAATACCACCTTGTATACCTTAACTACTGCTTGTTTGTCAAATGGCATCCACTTGTGTGATTTTTTCTTCCTTAAGATGAAATTTAAATTCCATAATTATGTCCAAGTACTAGTTTACGCATAATCCTATGTCCTGTGAATATCTTAGCAATGCATGTTGTACTGTGTCAGCCAGTTTCAGTGATGTATTTTGATTATAAATGCCTTCGGGCGCAAAAAATAAGTCTGAAATTTTTGTCGATTACAATATTCAGCTGGTGCGTCGGTAACACAGCGGTTAGGACGCTCGCTGACCATACACATGGTCCGGGGTTCGATCCCCGGCCGACTCACTTCTTTACCTCGCTAAGCCAGAAATAATGCTGGTAGAGAGGAAAGGCTGGGCATGAGCTTAGCAACCTCATCCTGTAAAAATAAAAACTGCTACAGAAACTTCAGGCCTCTAGCTTAAAGCTCTATGTTCCACTGGGAACGTGAAGGAATGAAAAAAAACAATCTTCAGTTGAAGTATTTTACTTTAAAAGTCATAGTTTTAATCAAAGAAATAACATTTGTCAGCACAGTAATGTGGTAGTGAAAAGTATCTTGTTCATCTCAATAGTATAGTTTTCATCCTTCAGTGGACTTATGAATCTACAACGTCTAGAATAAGCCAAAATGCAGTGTAACTTGATTATTGCTATTTTCAGTGTGATAAGTGATGTTATCATTTTATAAAAGATTTTATAATTGATTAGTTTATTGTTTTAACTTTTATTTTATATCATTTATTTTCATAGTGGTCTCACAAAGGTCATTCCTTTTATGAATATTCCTATGAACGTATTGCAGAATGTGGTGTATGTGGATTTCTATTATGGGGTGTTAATTTACAAGGTTTCAATTGTAATAGTAAGTTTCTGACTTTTATTTGTGTCTACTACACATGGGTTTATGTGATTGACTAAGAGAGGGTTGGTTGTTTTATCTCTAGGTCAATTAAGTTATAAGTGTATACCATCCTTGATCAATTTTATTTGGTTTGATCTCGTAATCACTGCAGCAGGAGTTTGTTAGGTCAAACTATTTTTTGTGTAATTGTCTCAATAAGATTGTACGTTTAAGTTCCATCATCCATCATCCCAATTTTTTTTAAATTCCTTCTAATCCTTTCGATTTTCTCTGATTGTGTGGGTACCATTGTTTTTTCTCTCTCATTCCTTTGCATTCTGAGTGGAACACGCGGGTTTCAAGCTTGAGCTTTGAGTGAGTTTCAGTAGAGGTAGTATGTTTTTACACTGTGAGATTGCTAACCTCACACCACCCTTTCTTGTTCACTGGGTTTAGTACCGGTTAAGCGAGGTTTAGAAGTGCGCCAACAAGGAATCTAACCAGGATCACGTGTGTGTGTGTGTGTGGTTGGCGAGGATCCTACCACTGAGCCAACGACGCAAGTAACAGACCTTAAATTCTGTTATGGTTATGGTTGCTCAGTATGATTTATAGTATTCCTACTTGTCACATGTTTCCTTGCCTTATTACTCAGTAAGGTCAAGATTGTTAAATGCTAATAAGCTAACCATTTTAGATAGAAGTGTCAAAAAAAGGCGAAATAACAGTCACGAAAGCCAATTTAAGTAAATTGAAGGATTTGACTGCTCAACAGTGAGCAATTGCTATGTTAAGGGTTTCATATGTTTTCAGAAATGCTGGTAATTCTTCAGTCTGTACGATAGAGAAAGAGAGAACATCAGGAGTTATATCTTACTAAATTCTTTTCGCAACCTTATTCGATAAGTCGATTTTTTTTTATTTGGTGAGTCTAGAAAATAAATTCACATAAAATTTTATTCTACAAATGTCCGAATTCTACTGTTTTCTCCATCTTGGTAGTAGAATTCACGCAGATATTTTCAGCGTTGTGTTGTGTTTTTTCTGTAAAGTCATATCATAGCTACACATGCACTTTGTCACTGAGTTTTAAGACACACAAGTCTGTGAACTAGAATTCCTCATCTCAACATTTAAATGTCAATCCACTGAGCTCATTGCCTCTTAGCGAAGTCATTTCAACGTTTAGGTTATACGTTACTTCTCAGATAATCGTTTAATTTTTCCAGATTAGTTTCACGTTTTCATCATAAACTGACATCAGTTAGAGGACCATTGGAAAACTTTCAGGTAGTACTTAGATAGCTGTTTCGTTGGCCTAGTTTGGGACTCTTTATCAGTACGCATCCCCTGAGGTTCGAAACCAGGACCTTCTGGTTACAAGACGAGTTTGTGGACCATTCAGCCACCAGGACCCGATCCAATAGTCCATAAACTCTAAGTTCGGCCAATTCATGATATGGCGCAACCACTAGCGAATGTCATTACTGGCGATTATTTTTCCTCACACCAGATTACTCCATTGTGAACTTCTTTGGTAGGATTGGTAAATAATTCAACTGAAGTATACCCGTGGTAACTTATTCATGATATTAGTGAGATTCTGCTTGGTAAAACTAAGCTACCTAGTTCTGTGGACTGATAAATAGTCTGATGGTGTGATGTATTGACTTGGATTGTATCGTTTACTGATCTTTTTCTCTATTTTGTACAACTTATGTCTATTCATAATTTCACTCTTTGATACACTGGTAGGCTTGTATGCATATGATTGATGCTTGCTAGCCATCAAGTAAGTGGCGATAGTTCTTATGCTCTAACTTTTAGATTAATTAATCGTAAGATAATTCACATTTTATTACTTAACTACAGGCAATTGTTACTGTTCGTTAAGTGTTCATTTCTATCAGTAGTTAAAGTATCTCAAGCTTTCATTTTAATATTATTGAACAACTTTTATTCCCGTTTCATATCTACCTAATGTATAACATTTGCTTTATTTTTCCTTTTTTTGTAGACTGTGATCTATTTGTTCACTTAAAGTGTAAAAATGGTATTCGAGACCAATGTAGTAGAGAAGGTCGTAGAACCGGTGGAGTATCTGTTAACGTTTTAAATGGTATACTCGGCAGTATACCAAATTTAACTGTGGATACAAACACTTCGGGGAACAATATAAACCAGACAAATGAAGCGTATAACAAATTATCACTGCCTATCGCTCATATTGGTCAAAATGATGTCATCTATCATAGTAGGTTATTTCTCATTGAATGGACGTACATTATATTTTTTTTGCTATATTCTTCCCTTGAATATTAGCGAATTCGATCCTCCAACTGTCACTCATTTCATTGGTAATCGTTTGCCAATCCAAGAGTATCACAGATAGTTTCAACCATAAAAAAGTATAAATCATAGAGGGGACTCATTTAGACAACATTTCAGTATGTTTGTCGCCTTATCTTATTCCCATATATGTGTATCGACACTGAATGCTTCTTTGTATTCGTCTTCTTTTTAAAACTTTACATTGACTTCTTCACTGTCAGTTGCGTTCAATACTACGTATTTAAACTTGGCGGTTAGCGTTTTCTTGTAATCATAATAACAACAATAACAAATGTTTAACTTTTGTCATCGAAAGCACATCGATTTTATACATATCAATAAGCTATATATCATTTTGTCACCTTGAATATGAATTTCTCAAATTCTGTGTAACTTGTTGACATCCTGGACACTACTGATTCAACCTGTGAGAAGTTAGAAATGCTACTACCCAAAGTATGAGATCATCAGCACTGTCTGACTATAAAGTTGTTTTTAAGATAGGTAGCTGTTGATGTTTAGCTGACTACAGTTTTGGCCCTCTAGTAGATTATATATGTGTAACGACAGAAGGCGAGAGTCAGGCAACAGATCGTTTATTGAGGAAATCAACAGATATTTATAGATTTTTATGTACATTATTATTCGTTATTATTAGCGTCTTCTGATTGGTTGTTTTCTCACTGGAAATTGTGGCCGTTTCTTTGAAGGTCAGACCATATATCTGCGAATCGTATCCGCCTACGCAAAGTCTGCTGTGATTGGTTGTTGAGTTAGTCTTTGTTTTTGCTTTTTTCTCATGACCAAGATATGGGACGTAAACATTGACGTAAATTGCTGTCTACCAATTTGCCTAGCAGACAGCTCTCACCACATATGATATATATATATATATCATCGCTTTGTGTTCCAAGGGGAACACAAGGTCTGAAGCTTTGAAATTCTGGTAGTTGTGGTGTTATTGTACTGTGAGGCATGCCCAACTGCCCCCTCTTTTCCGGGCTTACTATCGGCTAGTTATCTAAGTTACATTTAGAATGTGTTTGCCGGCTATCGAACCCGGATCACCTGGTTGGCTAGCGGGTATTCTACCCTTGAACCACTGGCATGAACATATATATATATATACATATAGTTTTTCGGTTTGCGTCCATTGTTGCCTCTGTTCGTGTTTTAACCTGATTTAGAATGAAATATTTTTTACATTTGCATATCATGATAATACATCTAAATTATCTTTTATATTTTCCCTTTCTTTTATAAAAACATCCTTCCCTGCCACAATATAAACTTGCACTAATGACTAACAATGCTAACTGTATTATTATCATGCGAACTTACATTGATAACCGTTTAATATTAACACTACTCCCAATAATAATAATAACAATAACCATAATACACTGTAGGTTTCACAACTCACCGCCGTTGTGGTTCTGATAGTCGTCCTAAGAAAAAGAAGGCTAATACAATGAGAGATTTTAATTTATTGCCTTCATTTCTTCATCGAAACTATGGTATTTAGTTAATTTTGTTAGTAGTATATTATTTTATCTTCTTTGGTGGAGTGATTCTTTGGTTTATATTTTGTTTGATTTGATATTGGTGATAGGTTTGTATTTATATATATATATATATATATACTTTTTAAAAGATGATATTTTCATTTAGTTAAGTTATTGTGAATTAATTAGATCTTAGTTACTCTCAGTCATTTTTTGAAGACTCACTATACTACTACTCAGTTGACCAGTTTGAAGTAGGTGAAGTGAGACTCGAACCCGGTATCCATTAACTGTACAGTCAATGCCTTAAGTCAATAATGAACCACATCTTCGCAGATGTTTCATCGTAGCTTATGAAAGATAAGTCGTTGAGGTTCAGTATTTTTCATGCTTGGTGAATACTATCTACATTTATTTCCATCTTATTTCTCTACTGTCTGCCTGTCTGTTTTCGACATAGAACTTTGCACCAATGTGCGGCAGTTCAAGTCGCCACACTCCCTCCTTGTAGCACACAAAGCAAGAGAAGAAAGTAGAAGAAAGGCATATTAGAGAGAGTAAACAGAAGTGTGAGACAAAGGAATAGTAATATCAAAGAACAATATAGTTTCATTTGAAATCGTAAGTCACAAGTAGTGGATGCATCTGCATCATCCGTTGAGAATGATTTGGAACCATATCACCAATTGTTTCCAGCCATTGGTTTTTACCGTCCCGAGGACCCCAACCAGGAAGTCTACACTTTCCTACGTGGCTGGCTTAAACTAACTGTTGTAGATTTCATTGACTGATGAATCCATGTTTTGGTTTGACCGCCGCTAGCTCTTTTCCAGTCTGACCCTATGTCAGCCAACATAGCCCGTAGGCCGAGGAAAGCGATGACTAGGCATACGTAACACATGTCCTAACCATCTCAGTCGATGTAATTTCACAGCCTCGTCGATTGATTTCCCCTCCTTACCTAGCACTCGACGCCTAACCTGAATATTGCTCACCTTATTATACCACTTCACACGGGAGATAGAGCGCAGGCACCTATGTTCAAAGACAGCTAGTCTTTTCATGTCTTCCACTCTCATTTCTCTACAAAGCAGACACACAGAAAGGGTAATCATGTGATCACGGCATCAGAATAATGTCTGTTTCCTTCACATATGTGTTTCTTAGGGAGTAAATATGGAGCGAAAATCAATCGGCTGCTGTGAATAAAATTGATGTTTCTAAGAGTTTTTTATAGTAACTCAGTAAACTCTCGCTGTATAATGATCCACTCAACTGAAATTTCGTGTTCATTAATATTTGTCAGTCATGTATATCTCTGCAGTCTATAGGAGATGTATATCTTCTACTTGATTGAAACCTGTATCATTTAGAGATTATATCACTAAGCAACATTGCATCACAATCAGCTTACATTCTTTATGATTATAAACAAGTTTAGTGTGTGTATTAAAATGTGTGATTCGACATTATACGATTGACAACCGATACCTATTGAAATAGGAGACAACACAAGTTTAATTCATCTGTTGTAGCTAAAAATTAGCCTGAGTGTCGCACTACTACTAAAGCGCTTATATGTTTGTTTATTACGTTTAACCGTCACTGTAATTTATATGAGATACACTTCCTTTAATAACTATGTCTAACATTAACTTACGCCTACTTACTACTTACGTTTTTATGCATATAATAATTGTTAGGTGTTTAGTGCTAACCCCTACATAATTTTTGAATTTTTCAAATAAACATACATAAATGTATGTGTATCACACTAGATTATGCTAGACAATTTTTTTTGATAATTTTATTTTTAGAATATTTTCTTTTATTTTTTTCACTCTAAGTTTGTTTTTATATGTGTTTGTGTTAATTCACTCTGCTTTTGTTTTAATTAGTATTTTCTTTTCTCTATTTTTTTGTTGTTGCTGTAATTATTGCACATTCATTCACCAGGTTATTGGTTCCTGTGTGCATTCACGGTGAAAAAATACTTTCTTTTCAAAGGTGTATTTCATAGTGAGTAAAAGTATTGATTAGCTATGAAGGAGTATGAGAAGCTCTGTTGCCTATTAGGATTGTTGGTATTAGATGGTTGGAGGCAATCGGTAGGAAGCCATACTTGACCTAGGTTTCGTGCTAGTCGGCACTCACCAGTCAGCAAGGCGTATCTGCAACCTTGAAGGAACTCATGTCCCTTCTGAGACTCGAACCCGCGTCACCCAGTGCTGCAGTGATTGCGAGCCACCTAGTGGCATGGTGGCCACATTGCAAACTTGACTGACAGAATTCAGTCTGCACCTAAGATAGGACTAGACACATTACACACTAGTTACTGACTAGTGGGCAATCAAAAAATAAATTCTAATGGGAAATTTTGTTTCACTTTTCAGAATGCCTTTGTCGATTAGAAATGTTTTTTTTAAGGATAAGAACACTTCTGTGAGATAGTAATGAAGGCAATAGAAAGTGTCTTCCCTGTCAGTCCACATGAAAGGCTACAGTGCCTTGTACGAGATTATTAGAAGCTGTCACACGTTTGCATGAGTTTGTATCGGCAATCTTCTATGAAAGCCCTATGCGATACATGTATGTTAATGAATTCAAATGTCACTTGTTGAATTTGGTTAGTTAATATACATATATATATATACATATCATTAATCCCAGTGACTGATAAAATAGTGACCACATGATTGTCTCTAATTTGTTCAAGTTTTCAAAATCACTAGCTCTTTCATTCATTTGCCTAACCCCTTAACCGCTATAACCAAGACAGTTTTTTAAAGCTTTTTCAAAATCTGTTTCCGATATGCTGCTGACAGATTACGTTACTCACTTAACAGCATTAGTACGTCTAATCATCAATTTCCCTATATCAATCATTGGATACCTCTTGGTTTCACCAGTGTGTGCTTCTTTCTTTTTCTGAAGAGTCTTGATAAACTTCGTTAATTTTCCATATCTTATGATTCTTATCCTCCTGATGATCAATCAGTTGAAACACAGATGCTCAAATATGCTAGAGGTTATTTTTCACTGTTCGTCTCATACAGTCTGTTTCTGCTCTGTTTGCTATGTGATATCATTTTAACAGTTATATTGAAAATGCGATGTTATTGCACAATAGTTTGCTTGAAATAGTAGATTTTAGCTGGACAATCACATGAGGCAGGCAGTGGGTAACTTTATTTACCCCTTTCTCTTCAGTTTCTAGAAAATTTTATATGATATTTAGGTTGGAACACATGTCACTGACAGTGTTCTTATCTCATTCCATATCGAATAAATACATTTGTCCTTTTGGATAAATACACTAGTCACAAGTTTATAGATAAAAAGGCTGGTGTACTTCTTTCTTTTCAGCTTAGTAGAGATAAACACGATTCTTGTCAAGTTATGCAATCTGTCAATCCTAAAGTATGCCAGAAGTCAGTGTCACAAGGATCTTAATTAGTGGAAATAATCTTTACACAGCGGTTTCATCAGTTTATTCTTTCCTGTTGGATGGTTGATTTTTCATGTTACATTATTTGCAATTAATAGTGTTCTCTGAGCTGGTTGGTTTAGTTGCGGAGCTTTCGTCTCCCTTCTGGACAACATCTCCTTTCAACGCAGTATTTAGCATGAAGTGAAATGATTTAAATTTCTTCATGAGTGATATAATTGCTTCTTCTGGTAACCATCTTTACATATGTATCGACCATTTTCTATTGACTTGGATTTTAAACTTTCTGGTCACCCGATTCACTTTTTATTAGTCGGTATATTTCGTCTATATTAACGTGTTTGTTAATTGCATTTTCGTTTGAGTACCAGGCTTCTAGGAATTCCCTGACTGCACTTTTGGTGTTTCCTCTGTCTAACATTTCGACATTATACCAATCAAATTGATGTTCATAATTGTCTATATGCATTGATACTAAAGAATATATATCGTGTCTTTTCACAGCTGATTTGTGTTCCTGGATTCTGATTCGAAAAGGGGAAGCCCACTTTGGTTGATGTAATGTCTGCTACAGTTCATACAATTTATTTTGTAAATGGTATTAATTTTATCTCCGAAATCTGTTGGATCCTTCGGTTTGCACAATATTGAATTAAGCGATTTAACTGGCTTGTGTGCTATATCTATATCAAACGGTTTCAGTATTCTAGCTGTTATTCCAGAGATATTTTTTCATGTATGGTAGGATGAATTTTCTTGTGGTCTTTGATGATGGTTCTTTGTTGGTGTTTTGATTCGACTTTCGACACCTTTTGATGAGATTTTTTGGATAACCATTCTTTTGAAGACCGTTTGTAGGTATTTATTTCACTTTATGCTAAATATTGCGCTGAAGATGTTGTCCAGAAGGACGACGAAAGCTCCGCAACCAAACCAACCAGCTCAGAGAACAATATTAATTGCAAATCATCCACCTGAGCTACAAATCTTCTTTATTATGTTACATTATTGTCTATTTAATAAATGTATAAACATTCACTAATTTACTGTTACCGGTTATTGTGTGTTTTGCCTTAACTGCAACACTTTGCTATTTATTTGCAGTGGATTATTTCACACAGCTCTTTGAAGTTACCTTATATTATATGTATATCGAAAGATAATTTTTGATTTGATTGTCTGTTTTTTTTAAATTTTTATTAGATTTATATGAGTGACGAGTTTTGTTTTGTGCATTTACTTATAATTTTGCTGATTCCCACCCCCCACACAACTATTTGTTTGTTACCAAATCCTTCCTTATATTTTGCTTCATTTGTATTTTAGCTACTAGCGCAGATCATCCACATGAAGTGATTTCAACTATGGACGATACAGCGAATTCATCAGCTCATGATTCTTCTAATTCAGGTTTAATGGAGACTTCATCAGTAGTCAACAACACTTGTTGTCCTGGCAATGCATCTGTCGGTTATACATCTCCAGGATTATCTCAAAGAGATCCATTTTCATCAACACTTATATCGTCTACACCGACATCACTAGGTGGTGGTGGTAATAGTGCTGTTCAAAGTCCTTCAGAGTCAAGTGGACAAACTAGTGGTCAATTTGATAAACAAAGATTAAGTGGAGAAGAATCTGGTTTATCAGCGAATGATCCACGTAAGTTTTGCATCGATTTTATTACATGTTTCTTTTCTGTTTTGCTCATGGTAAATATATGGTTTATCAAAAGGGTTGAGGATATTCTCTGTGGGTCTAGAATTCTCATTTCTAGTATACTTAATTTGTCTCCAAACTTCTTTATCTAGGTAACCCTTTAAAAAAATCCTCATTGTCTCACATATTAGGTTTCAATTGCATTTTATTCTATGAATGACCTTCGCCTTCACAGTGTCCATTAAGTAAACCATGAATCTTATAAACTCTTCTTAACAGTTGAAGTTTACGAAGTAACATAAAGAATTCAGGTGTTGGTTTACAGGGATTTGATTGGTTTCAGGATTTCATCATGAACTGACATCGGTTAGAGGAACATTGGAAAACCTACAGGGAGCACTGGATATCTGTTTCTCCCTAGTTTGGGACTCTTCATCAGTACACGCCCACTGAGGTTCGGATCCAGGTTGGATCGAGTCCCAGTGGTTTAATGGTCTACGAGCTTTCCTTGTAACCACAAGGTCCTGGGTTCGAACCCCTGTAGTGGGTGCGTACTGCTGAAGTGTCCCAGATCAGGACGAAACAGCCGTCCAGTACTCCCTGCAGGTTTTCCAGTGGTCCTCTAGCCGATATCAGTTCATGATGAAATCATAAAACATAGAGAAGTTGAAATGTGCTACGCGTATCGATCACTGCTCAGAATCACTTCATGTTTCGGTTATCACTAAAGTTTATACAGAATATCTCTAGCTGATGATGTAGATGTTGAGTCTGAAGTGTTCTGTAAGCTGAGGAATTTACATTCAAACCAAATAAGTCAACTTTTCCCTGACTAAAATGTATTTTTCGTCACTTCGTATTCTATTACTTGCGTAGCAAGCTGTCATCAATATTCTCTCTAGAATGACGTACACAAATTGAAAACATTCATCAATCATCTCTAACATGTATCTATGATATACAGCTGATAACTACGTTTCGTTTACATATATATATATATATACATATATATATATATACATATATAAAGAGAGAGAGAGAGAGGCAGAAATGTAAAGCAAATAGCATTAAAAACAGAGAAACGTCATAGGCTTAGGTTAAGAATAACAACATTCATCATTACTTTAGTCTAGAGAATAATATCTATTTTTGGACTATTCTGAAAGTTACTGGAGATAAAGCAAAATGAGTCTAACTTGTTTAATCTTATCGATTTTCTCCAAGTTTATTTCACATCTAGACAATAGATGATATTGTAATGACGAGAATTACAGGAAGTCCTTGACGTAGGTTTCGTGCTTGTTGCCTCTCATCAGGTTTATCTTCATCTTTGAGCTAACTGTTTTCCCTTTAGTTGGAGATTTAAACTTGCATCAACGAGTGCTGCAATCAAAGACGTTACCACTCGGCTGTTTGAGTTCACGATTAACCTCCTATAGGACTGCACCAAACACCTAGATTGGTCACTAGGGAGAGAGCGATGTCATGTCACATAAGCTAAGTGATTCCTTTGAGTGGATGTTAGGTGATTGGACGGAATCGGCTAGAAGTAGAATATACTCTGTAAAGTTATGCGTTAAGGTGTGATACTTTTCGAATAGTTGATTAATTTTGAAGCATATTCCTCAGGGTTGATAATAACTGATAGATTTTGTAGTGTCATCTTAAATCCTTCCTAGAATGTATTACTTGTTTGTATTCGTTATATATCACTGTAACAACAGAAGACAAGGGCCAGGCAACAGATCGTTTATTAAGGAAAATCAACACATATTTATAGATTTTAATGTACATTATTGTAGATTATTGTTAGTAGGAAATACAGTCTTTTGATTGGTTGTTACTCACAGAAAGCTAACCTTGTATCTCTTTGTGGCTGTGTCAGATCATCCATATGCTAACTGTATCCGCCTTCGGAAAGCCTTTGTTCTCATTTTCTCACCACCAGCAATATAGGGGACATGAAGATTGACGTCAATTACTGTCTACCAACTTTGGCTAGCAGCCAGTTCTCACCACATCATCAGCTTATGACTTAACTTACTGAATTTGTGTTTGGCTATAAATTAACCACAACTTCAGTTTTACATCCAACTAATTTGAAGTGGATAATCTGCATTTCATATAGATCAGCTCGGCAGTCAGTAGACTGATTCATCGCTGCATGTTAACTATATGCTTTGCTTTCATTGTATTGTATGGTGATCACTTGATGGTGATTGAAGAACTTTCATGGTGTACAGTAAACACTCTGACATTGTTGATTTCTTTTTGAAGCCTAGGTCGTCGTGTAAAAGCATAAAAGTGTTAACACACATTCTGATTAACTGACTGACTGAATTTCAACATAGAACTTAGCACAGTAGTGCAACACTTCAAGTTGCCACATTCGACGTAGAAAACAAAGACAGACAAAGTGGAGGAGATATGTCATGGGAAAAGAATAGTAACATAAATAAGCTTGAGGGTTCAGTGAATATGGGAGATCACACCATTAAGAACGATTCTGATCCGGATTACTAATAGTCCCAAGCCATTAGTAGTTCATAGAATCCCGAGGGCCGCAACCGGGCAGTTTACACCTGGGTAAAGACAGTTAGTCTTATCATGAATAATCCTTATCCAAGCGCTAATCAAAACAAAACACGTAGTTCAGCGAAGAGTCTCTTCTCGGCGAAATCATCTTCTTATCTGTACAATCGCAAATATACATAAATTATTTTGTATACATGTGTACCTCACCAGATATAACTTCTTAAAATCCATATATATATATATATTCTATAGTTTGGTTTTTAAGGGTTAGTTATGTTTTTACGAGTTGCTACAGGATGGAGTTTCCTGGAGTTCTAGTGAGAAGTCGTGACCAGTGAGGTTCAACCAGATGTCACGTGTGAGGATGGATGTCCTACCAACAATATTGGTTGGGGTCACGCTAAATCACGAATTGGTAGAAGTTAGAATTCATGCACTGGTCATTGAATCGGATCCCAGTGGCTGAATGGTATACAAGCTTGCCTTGTAACCGGAATGTCCTGGGTTTGAACCCTAGCAGTGGATGCGTACTGGCGATGATTCCCAAACTAGAATGAAACAGCTGTCCAGTACTCCGGTGCTGGTTTTCGATGGTTCTTTAAATGATACCAATCAGTGATCAACTCGTACATATATATATACATATATGTACTATTGTACAGCTTGATGATAAATTCGTTGAAAAGAGTCTCTTCGCTGAATCACTTGTTTCGATTTTCTATACATTAAGTTTGTCAAACAAAAATACAATTAATTATGGTTATTTCAACTAAACAGGTGAAAATTAGTAAGTTTTGACTAGAGTTGCGTAATACAAAAACAGTCAAGAAAATTCGGTGTTAAAGAAACTAGTGTAGAGTAACAAAAATTATGATTTGTCACAGACAGTTGTTTAAAAAGAGTTACATAATAATATGAATAGTTTGATGATTGAGTTGTACTCAGGATACACACAGGGAACAAAGTAGAGAATACGCGATTACGTAAGAGTTCCTTTCACACTATCAACTGTAACTTTCAGTCTTCTGCATGTTATGACCAACATGGAAGTCATCAGTTATGCTACTGACTTTATGATGAAACCACGCTGAACCATAGTAACTTGTATTAAACACATTCAGAGAAAATTGATTTTTATTTTATGACATAAATATATATGTATAAATTTTCCTAATTAACGTATTTCCTTCCTTTTTTTTTCTTCTCCAATACACATGTTGATATACTTCTACATTTAAATGTATGTCCGCTTCCAATTAACATTAATTTCTCCGGATTTTATCATTGTTTCTGATGTTTCTTCACGAATTCGCCTCATACGCTTATATTATTATTATTATTATCATTATGTGTGCTTTGTGTTACTGAAATACCTATACACTCGTGGTGGTGATACACATATATGTATATATATACATACATTATTCACCGATCTTTTGGTTTTACAACTGTTCATTCTCCATCTACCTATTGCCTTTTTATTGTCTACCTTGAAATATCATTACACTCACTGTCATAATAAAACTATGGTAATTTAATCGGATCCGGTGCCATATTTGATCATATTTTAAAACATCATAATGTGTTCATTCATAATATCGGAATTCACTACTCTACATGTATCACATTTTGTTTACTTCTTTTGCTTAACTGAAATGAAATTTTATTTTGTCTTTTATTCTCTTTCAACTTTTATGTGTCCAAACTGTTTTTTGTCTTCAATAACCTCATTTTACCATCGTATTACGCGTCTTTCCTCGCTTTTTTATATCATCTGAAATTGATTGGATTGAAATCAATGTTTGTGTGCTCACTTTCTTTGCCTGCCTGCTCTGCCTACTTGCGTGTGTGTGTGTGTGTGCCTGCCTTTTCTTCACTATAATCACCATTGTTGTGGTATCACAGCAGTAATGACTGTTTTTAATCGTCTTCGTATTTCATTCCCATCGGTATCTACAGGCGATTTAACCCAATACCAATCGTCATCAACATATCGTCGTTTTAGTTGTTCTATTAGACCAGGTTAACTTTTAAATCGATATTTGTGGTATAGTTAATAGTAGTTTGCTGCCAAATAAAAAAATATTCAATAGCTATTACTAGGACTGTCTAGTATTAATAATGTGTTACTCATTCAATATGTTATCTTCAGTTTATCACATTAAAATAGTCTTTTGGCTACTTTCAGTCCCCACACTACTACTGTAATAACAGAAGACAAGGGCCAGGCAACAGATCGTTTATTAAAGAAATCAACACATATTTATATATTTTCATGTACATTATTATAGATAATTGTTAGCAGACAAACACAGTCTTCTGATTGGTTATTTCTCACTGAAAGTTAACCTTGCATCTCTTTGTGGCTGTGTCAGATCATCCATATGCTAACTGTATCCGCCTACGCGAAGCCTTTGTTCTCATTTTCTCACCACCAATATTGGGGACATAAACATTGACGTCAATTTCTGTCTACCAACTTTGGCTAGCAGCCAGCTCTCACCACACTACGACACATTGACTACTGATATGTGATATGCCCTGCAAGATAGATATATCAGCCTTTCATATTCTTTTTTCCTCTAGAGAGTGCTTAGTCTTTGCACACTTAAATCTTTCATGTCATCTTTCAAAGAAAAAAATTCAGCTTTCACGCCTCTTTTAAGCATCGGTATACCGCTAAAAGCAAGTCGGTTAAAAAAATGCTTTTCATATATGTGGTGTGCAATCGATTTTGTCATATTTTTGTGGGTGTTCGTTGTCAATGTTTCGTTTTACTTCGTCAACTTACTCATATTTTTGTGTGTATTTCTCTGTACGTGTGTTTGTTTGTCCGTCTAGACAATGTTCACATGCCTAGGCGTCATTGTAATCGCTTTTCTTTTGATGTTCAAGATTTCATATAACTCTTATTGGCGATTATTGTAGCAAAAGAACAAGGTGGAAAAAAGAAGCAGTTGTGTGTTGCACTTAACAATATTTTTTGGCACATTTCAACTGTACACTACCTAGTGTACATCATGTGTACAGCATGATGTAGTCATAAGGAATCGTAGATACAATATACATTGGTGTATTATTATTATTATTGTTCCCTTGGGTTCCTAGTGGAACATAGGGCTTCAACTGACGTCTCCACTTTTTTCTGTCTTCTGCTGTACTTTTCACTTGCATCCATGTTAGTCCAAACTGTTTCAACTCCTCTTCACACGATCTCTTCCATGTCACCCTTGGATATCCCACTCGCCGCTTCCCTTTCGGGTTCCACTCGAGCTATGGCCTGACGCGTGATGTCACCCAGCGGCCTCCTCAGCGAGTGTCCAATCCATCTCCACTTTCTCCTGCATATTTGTTGAGCGATTGGTTCTTGTTTTGTTTGTTCCCATAGTTTCTTGTTGGTGATTATTTCCGGCCATCTGATCTTCAGTATAGAACGAAGATAGCTGTTGATAAAGGTCTGCAACAGGCTGTTGGAAATATTCTTTGTGACTGAAGGATATTCTACCACGATGCCCAAATCCTATTCTTATATCATGTTTAAACAGATTAGGTAGTAGCCTGGTCAAGAAACTGGAATCATTCATTCCAATGTTAAAATATTCCAGGAGTTCGTTCAAAGTTTCTGTCAAGAGGATAATTTTGAAATAGCCTTTACTTCACATCATAGTGTTAAACTTGATGAGTAATGCGATAGGGCTCATGTTTTTTTGTTATTACTCTTTCTTTACCTAGTTTGGCTGACATTATATCCCTTGATATGTTTAACTTCATTATTAGTGGTAATCACCTCCTTTAGCATAACAAAAAGCCACCTGTCACTTTTCTACAAATCGATTCTAAATATCTTCATAAATTTGTTATTACCATCCGGTTTTATGAAGTTGTGGAGGGGGTACATACTGATTATTTGAGTTTGAGTTCGCTACGCCTATATCTCTGTCTCTAAGTCGTCCTTCTTTTGTGCATATCAATATTTAAATTTGTTTTCCATCATCATCTATCCGTATATATCTCAAAATATATCATTTCATAGAATACAACATATCATGGATAAAAAAAATTAAGTTTCCTTTTTCTTTTTTCTCTTCTTCCTTGTATAACATTCTTCTATTTCATTGTGTTTAATTTCATTTTATTTCTCTACTTTTATCAAGGTCATGTGAAACAAATGAAAAGTCTTTATGAAGGTAATGAAGGCAATGTGCAAGAAACAACGCCGAATCCTCGAAGGTAAAGTGTGTGTTTTTTTACAGTAATCACTTTCTCTTTTGTTCAGTTTCAGTTAGATTTTTTTCAAGTATTGGTTTTGTAGGGATTTTGTTTGATTGCATGGAGGATTTCATCATGAGCAATTTGAAATCTGCTGTTACTCAATCTTCATTCAGTTTGCGTATCAATAGTTTTAACTGATTAATAATGCCCATTAAAATTTTCAAAAGAATAGACACGGAACAAAGAATACTCATTTCGAGAACTTCATCATCAGGCTCTATAAAGTGAATGAATTAGTCTTATGAACGAAATTGATGTTTAAATAACATCGAATCAGTAATAATATCAATGGATTACAGTTGAATAACATCAACATAAAATAAGCTGAATGTCAGAAAAATTAGGAAAGATAATAATACAAATTTATGAATTTATAGTTTCTACTGAAGGCCGGCCAGGGCAGTAGTAGTGGCTGGCTGAACTTGCTTCTTTTGAACACAAAGCACTGGTTGTTTGAGGCGAATTGCAATAGCCTCTGCTGTTTGGAGCATGCAGTGCTTCGATGATTTTGGCAATTTATTAGGCACCGGGTAGATGACAGAGAAGGATTCTTCCACGCTGGCTGACTTTGTGGCCGGTTTGGAGCAGATGGTCCAATATCGAACTGTTGGTGGTTTTTACTACACCTTTACTTAGCCATAGTGGGATATGTTCTCGAGCACGAAAAATCAAGTTCCTAGAGCAACGGCCAACATAACTCGCTCCACAAGTGCAGTTGAATTGATAAATACAATTTGAAGTGGCTAGTCTAGGTACTTTATCTTTCAGTCGAGGAATCACCATCGGTTGTGTAGAGAATAATACGTGTAGTTCGCCATCATTAAAAGTTCTTAGAACTGATTTTCTTAATTTCGTTGTAATTATCTCGCTTGGTATATCGCCTATGAATTGTAGTCGTATATAAAGTGGCTTCTTGTTTACAGATAGTGAGTAGTCCTTTTCCGCTTTCTGTGTCATGTGTTTCTTGATAGATTTTTCGGTATAGCTATTTTCGATCAAAGTATCATATATAATGCTTAATTCATCTTCACTTACTTCTTCTGAGCATATATCTCTAACTCTGTGGCTGAAGGTCTTCACTAAATTCCTTTTGTAATTGATGGGAACGAAGCTGTGAAAGTGTGTATATTGTCCTGTCCAGGTGCTTTTTCTATGCCAATTTCTTTTTATGCTACCATCTGGTTGTCTTGTAAGGAGGACATCCAGGAAGGCAATTCTGTCTTGGGATTCCTCTTCGCATGTGAATTTCATAGCCGAATGTACTTCATAGAATTCAGTAATTATTGTACTCCTATCGGAACCATTATCAATAGTTATTATAGTCTAATTTTATCCACTGTTGTCGTTATCTTTGTCAGTGATGGAAATGATTTACAACGATAATTTTGGTGTAATCACTTCATAATGAATCGTCAGTTTTAAGTTCTATATTTAAATTCAGACGAACAGCTGAGGATATAATACACCCTGTGTCTTATCAGCATTCTGTTGGTTTTCAATAATGTGGCTGTTTCCAGTACTATACAGGTTGAAGGAGGAATGGTGTTCAGGAGGGCTTCGTGTGCTCGAGATGCCAGAGTTCTGGCTAGTGATGCCTGTTGTGCGATTTGGCGGGAGATCTTGCTCCAATATGAAGTTGGCAGTGTGGCTTAGGGAGACTATTGCGAGTGTTCTTCTGCCCCTCAACACTATTTGTAGTCATAGAATGAAATGAAGATGACTGAGCATCTTGCAGAATATTTTACTGACAGTAGTAGAGAAGCAAGATGATGAGGGTGACAGGGATACAGGAGGGCTTTGTGTGCTTTTTGAAGTGTGTGGGCAGTTGTTACTTCCCGGTTGACCACACCGTGGAATTTGATTTTTTTTCTGGGGTACCTGAAGCAAAAGGAGAATTAGTGTTGTGTGACTGCGCAGAGCCCAGAGGACAACTGCTTGAGGCCAGCCGGTCACACACGGCCTGTATGAACTGGTTTCCTGGATTGGTTCCGTATTAGTAAATTTACCGCCGGTTACGAATTACCGTAGGGTAAGTCGGAATGTACAATCTTCGGGGTTGACCTTTTCTAACTCCCTCTCTCCAGAGTGGAGAGACAGCACACCTGGTATGCTGGTCATCTGAGGGAAACATCTTACCACTGTTATATCCCTGTTTCCCAACAGTACGACTTTGCCCACAGACCCCCAGCATAGCGTAAAAAATTCTTACATCAAGCCGATAACTGCTTTTAGTCTAGTTGCTACCCTAACCGTCTTCCTGGTATGGTAGGACCTGCAGGAACAATAGTTCCAGCCAGTGAAGCTTGTTGGGTGATTGCGATAGGCAGGCCTGACCACCACATTAAGTTAGAAGCTATCGGTCGAGACTTTAAAGGGATTAATTAAATCACGAGAATCCTTTCATGGGTGCGGGTTCGATTCCCGACTGACGCAATCTTAAACCTTGCTTAGCCAGCCAGTATTAATCCCGATAAAGAGGGAAGGTTCAGTGTAAGGCTAACAACCTCATTGCGTAAAAAGGCATCACCGCTACCGAAACTTCACAGTTCTAAGCTTGAAGCCCTCTGTTCCATTTAGAACGCAAAGGAATGGAAGAATAATCAATTTCAGAAGTCCACCCAACAAACTGTATGCGCCATTTAATGTATCACGTCACTGTTGTTACATATAGTATAATAATTGCTTTAATCTTCTCAACAATTCAGAATTTCACCTATTCTAATGATAATTTTAGTGAAAATGAAATAAAAGCAAAGACATTTACATAATTATGGGGTAAAAGTTTATTTTCCTGTTGAAAACATAAAGTATAGCAAAGCCTACTAATAGTGCTTTTTTTTTGTTTTGACGCACAATGCATTCTTTTCTTTCTCCTGTCTGTTAATGTGGGCTTCTTATCGTGAACGTCACTGCAATGTTTAGTTGACCTCTTTTTTCTATATCACATAGTGTCGTCATATGAAATTACTCGTGATTTCTGTATGTTGTACAGTACATAAATATTGTCTGACAAAAATTTTGAACACTATAATTTCCTGCAAACAACTGTATTAGTGAATCAAAGGTGTCGAATGTTAGAGTTTCCTAAAGCTGAGGTTGGCGTTTCTGAATATTTACCCCAATATAAGCTTTATCGTATACATTGTATAGATATGTTAACGTTCTATGGGGTGAGCATATAAGTTTTTACGAATCAAAATTCCCACGCTTTCGTCTCAGCATGCTTGTTTACGTGGAACCGAGACGGTCAATTACGACTTGAGTTCCCTCGGGTAGTTGACTTTGTATAACGTGTTTCTTAGGAATTCTGTAGTCACGTCAGATGTTACATTTGATTGTTTTGAAGGTGTTCTATCAACATTATGCACAGCTGAAGCATCTGAAATAGGGTTTGCTACTGGATCACATTTTTACCATTGACAAGACTTATCAGTAGTATATATAAAGAGACGTTCATCGGCACAAAAATATCAAATAGCGAAGAAATAGATTTGAAGTCAAAAAGAGGAAATCAGCTGGTATCGCGGCAGCACATGGAAGACACGAAAAGAAGACAAAGAAAAGCAATTATGAAGGGCAGAAGTGGCACAACACGGGAGATCTGTGCCAATGACGATTTCACAATAAGGTGTACGTAGATTCCCCATATGTGTATGTACTACACATGTGCGCTGGTGGCACAGCGGTTAGGACACTCGCCGAGCATGCACATGGTCTGACGCACACCCGATATCAATGGTGGGCCTGCAAAATTTGGGCTACCGATATCACATGCTGAAAATTCCATACTTGTATCAAAAATACTGTGTGGAGTCAAGTTATAATAAATTTTTTTTTAAATAATAATACCTTATGGTAGCTTTCATCCTCACGTGTTCTATATCTATTTAAGTAAACTTTCAATCTATGGGAATCCTTTAAAAAAAAGTATCTTTAAAGTAACTATTACCAGAATACTATTTTAATATATGATGACGATAATTTAGTTTTCCGGAAGTTAAACTAATTAGTTTTTACAGCTTTATAATTGTACATATATGTGGTGTTGTGTTACTTGAATACTTGATAATAGCATTCATCAAAAGTAGTTAGGAATATCTCTCTCACTTACGAAATTTTCAAGTTTGGTTACAGAAATAACTTCATTTAGAGAACCATTGAAAACCAGTAGGGGAGTATTGTACATCTGTTTCATCCTTGTTTGGGACTCTTTCTCAGTATGCACTCGTGTCTTTGATCATAGGTGTCTGAGTTATATCTCCCGTGGGAAGTGGTATAATAAGGTGAGCAATATTGAGGTTAGGAATCGGTCGAGTGCTAGGTAATGAGGGGAAATCAATCGACGAGGCTGTGAAATTACATCGACTGAAATGGTTAGGACATGTGTTACGTATGCCTAGTCATCGCCTTCCTCGACCAACGGGCAATGTTAGCTGACATAGGGCCAGGCTGGAAAAGAGCTAGTGGTGGTCAAACCAAAACATGGCACCTGTCGATAAAATCTACAACAGTTAGTCTAGGCCACCTAGGAGGGAAGGTGTAGACTTCCTGGTTGGAGTCCACGGGACGTTAAAAACCAATGAAGGCTGGAGACAATTGGTGACATGGCTCAAAATCGTTCTCAATCACAGCGCAGATGCATCCACGCCTTGTGACTTATGATTTCTAGTGAAACTGTTTTGTTCTTTGCTACTACTATACCTTTGTCTCAGACCTCTAATTACTGTCTCTAATATGCCTTTCTTCTACTTTCTTCTCTTGCTTTGTGTGCTACAAGGAGGGAGTGTGGCGACTTGAACTGCCGCACATATGTGCAAAGTTCTATGTCGAAAACGGACAGACATGCACTCGTGTCTCCACCAGGGATTGAACCCAATACCTTCAGGTTACAGTGGGAGGTTGTTGACCATTCAACCACTGAGGAGCAATCCAATGGTCCATGAATTCTAACTTCTCTAACTGGAAGTCACTTCGTGATCAAACTTATGAAATTAATAGTTGTCATGTAGATCTAAGTTATCTTATGTCGATTATTTCATCTTTGTTTTTCTTCTTCTTCTTATATAGTGACAGTGTTGCATCGAATGCACCATCATCTACTGTACCTTTATCCAGTACACTTTCATTTGATCGTCCAACTGATATGCCACCTCCACCAGCAGCAGCACCACCACCGCCAACATCACTACCATGCACTAGTCCTACATCAAATGTCAATGAAACTGTCCGTGAATTGGTCAGTACAGATTGGAGTGATGATCCAGAAATGATTGCTGGGGCAAGTTTTGAAGCAGCTGTCGAGTTACGTGCTCAATTCCCTAACTTCCAAATGCCTAGTAAAGTATGTATAAAGGTTTAGATGAATTTTGCTGTGTTTTTTTATGTCTCATAATATTTTAAATTTAGTCTACTAGTTAAAAGTTATGGGTTTGTAGGGATTCAGAATCATTTCTGTATAGATTTCATCTCTGCCGAAGATCGTTGAAAACAAAGGAGCACTAGACAGCTGTTTCGTCCCTAGGTTAGAACTTTTTAGAGGTGTATGGGTCAATTAATTCATGTCTGACTGGCTGAAATGATCAACAAATGCTCCAGGTTTGATCCGTGGCCAGTTCATGGGTGTGCACTGCTGATGAGCCCCAAATTAGGACTAAACAGCTCTTTGGTTTTAAGTAATGCCCAACTGATGTTGCTTCGTGACGAAGTTCATTTCCTTAGTCCATAGTTCATTTTTAGAGTATATGTGGTAAGTGAGGGCAACAAAATGTGAAAAATATCAGCGAAAACCAAGCGCCAATATTCTCTGTTTATGGTGGATTATAAATTTAGTGAATTTAAGTTCTAATTAGAGTAAATCAGTTCTATTACCCAGTTTATTTTATTTAAAAAAAATTTTCTGGTGTGTAACGCAGAAACTGGTTTCTTTAAAGCCATTCGTAATCTAAGCATTTTTATATCTTCATTACTTGCTTAAGAATACTAGATTTAAGTAAACTCCTAAGTGACATTATTCAATTTCTTATTATCAAGCAATTGTTACTTGAATGAATGTTCCATGTTCAATTTTTACCAGTTGATCACGGATTGATATCAGTTAGAGAACCATTGAAAGCCATCACCGGAGTACTGGACAGCTGTTTCATCCTAGTTTCGGAATCATTGGCAGTACGCACCCACTACTGCTAAGGGTCGAACCCAGGACCTTCCGGTTACAAGGCAAGCTCGGATACCATTCAGCCACTGGGACCCGATTCATTGGTCAGTGCATGAATTCTAACTTCTACCACTTCGTGATTTAGCGCGACCACCAACCAATGTCTTTGGTGGGACATCCATCCTTACACGTGACCTCTGGATGAACCTCACTGGTCACGACTTCTCACTAGAACTCCAAGAAACTCCTACCATTGGTTGGGGGTGCTCTAGATCATGAATTGGTAGAGGTTAGAATTCATGGGCTGGCCATTGAATTGGGTTCCAGTGGCTGAATGGTATACGAGCTTGCCTTGTAACCGGAAGGTCCTGAGTTCGAACCCTAGCAGTGGCTGCGTACTGTGGATGACTCCCGAACTAGGATGAAACAGCAGTCCAGTACTCCGGTGCTGGTCTTCAATGCTTCTCTAACTGATATCAATCCGTGATCAACTCGTGAAAAGATAACTAACCCTTACAAACCAAACTATAGAAAATGTTCAATTTATTTAAACTAAAGGCAACTTTTTTTCCCAGCTGTATAAATAAATAGTATCATATGATACAGAATTAAACTGCTTTAACAGAAATTGATATTTACATTCAATCTACAGACGAATGACGTAACTGGATACTCAGTTTCACTATGTTTGTTTATTGAAATAATTGTCCGTGAAAAAAAATCTTCACCAAGACTACTTGTCAACATTATGCATCTATCTACCTGTCTGCCTGATCTGTCATCAACATTTACATTGAAAATACAGAAATCTTCATTGTTTTCGCCCCCATTGTTTCCACCTTCTTCTTCTTTTTCGTCATAATCTTCAATTTTCGTAATAGGTGGTGGCTTTAGCTCAGTGATTTGGAAAACAAACCTTCGTTTTGTAATAGACGCATAGGCAGGCGCATAAAAACATTCCACTTCATTACTGGTTTAATTTAAGATAAAAACTCGCCCAACATATGACGCTTTGTTTGTTTTTTTCGTGTGTGTTTGTTGTAAAATGACAACTGTTCTCCTTCTTGTATCGAATGGGAATTTATCATTTTGTGATATTTTTGAAAATGAACAGACTACTATTTGTTTTTTGTTTTGTTTTGCTTTTAAAAAAAATTCTCCCTCTTTCTTTTTATTCACTTTATAAAAGGGTCAAAAAAGTGAAGAATACATTCGTACATTAGTTCTTTTAGAATTTCATCAAAAAACTCAATATATGGTACGTCATTTAAAACAATATGAATACCTACTACTTCGTCGTTGGCCTGTTGAACATGCAAAAGTAGCGAAAATTTTATGCCTTGATCAAATTCCAATTCTAATAAATCTTTTCCGTAGTCTGGTCACATGTATTGATCAGACAAAAACAGATCAAGGTTATTGTGGTATGGCTGAAGCTGTTCACGCTTGGTTAACTGATAATTCATCAGCTAATTTAAAAGTAAGTTGTTGACAGTGTGTACACTCAATATTTTGTTTCATATATTGATTACTGTGTTCTTTCTTGTGTGTTTGTAGCATAGTTTGTTTGACATACTGTTCAAGTATATCTTTTTTTTCAAAAGAATGGATACTGAACAAAGAGTACTCTTTTCGATAACTTCATCATCAGGCTCTACAGTTATATATACACATTTATAGTGAATGAATGAATTAGTGTCACTAACAACATTAATGTTGTTTAAATAACATCGAAAAAACAATATCAATAGATTACAGTCCAATAGCATCAACATAAAATAAGCTGAATGTCAGAAAAATTATGAAAGATAATATTACAAATTCATTAATTTATACTCTCGTCTGAAGGCCAGGGCAGTAGTAGGGGCTGGCTGAACTTGCTTCTTTTGAACACAGAGCACTCGTTGTTTGAGGTGAATTGCGATAGCCTTTCCTGTTTGGAGCATGCGGTGCTTCGATGATTTTGGCAATTTATTAGGCTAGCTTTGTGGTCAGTTTGCAACAGATGGTCCAATATCGAACTGTTGATGGTTTTAACTACACCTTTACCTAGCCATAGTGGGAGATGTTCTCGAGAGTGCACGAAAAATCAAGTTCTTAGAGCAACGGCTGATATAACTCGCTCCGCCATCAGCGCAATTGAATTGGTAGATACAACTGGAAGTTGCATGGAGGATTTCATCATGAGCTGACATGCAATTAAACAAAAATCCCTTCCAAACCAATACAACTGGAAGTGTCTAGTCTAGGTACTTTATCTTTCAGTTGAGGAATCACCATCAGTTGTATAGAGAATAATACGTGTAGTTCGCCAGCATCTTTTTTGTCAGCTACTAACATCTGAATAGCGTTCACCTAAGTTCCTATTTTCATTACCATCGATAGAGATGGTATCTTTTTTCTGCGTCTTTCTTCAATATTCATCACTAAACATGTTTCAGGATACACCAGCTAATTAATAAATTATAACCACAAAAGAATTCAGTTACATTCTTTCGCATTTGGTAGAGGTGGTCAGTAGCAAGCTGTTGATTTAGCATTGCTACTGACCACTTTCATATGCAAGTTTCAAAGAAACATGTAGAGGTTAAACTAAAGACTATAGAACTTATCATTATTATTATTGAAAACACAAACTTAATACATTATGGACACCAAGAGATGAGCCACACAAAATCTAATATACCCTCCGGATATCTAAACCGAGGTTAGTGGTTGTCTTTGAGCACAGCTCCCCCCGGAGCCTTTGATTTGAAGTGTGTTCCACATGGCAGGTGAGCCGCGTTCCCGTTGTTTTCAGTGGCCTGAAGGTTTTCATACTGCATTCAATCCGTTTGGATTCTGGAGCCCATGTACACTAAAGGTTTGGAATCAGGGTTCTCCTGCTCCCCTATATAAACATGGATGTTCACCAATCTGGTTGTAAGCTCTAGATGTTGTCATTTTCGTTTATTGTGAGGAACACCCGCGTCGCGTGAAGGCAATGAACAGAACTTACTTGTCAGAGGTTATGAACTTGTGGCCATGTGAGAGCAATTCGAGAAGAAGATCGAAGTCTACTCACCGTCCGCTGTACCTGGTTGTTTTGTAGGGAGAAGTTATATAGAACTCACTCCTCGAAAAATAATTTGGGGGTTATTTTTATTAACTTAAACTCTTTCTTCATGTGTAGATGCAGAGTACTGTGACTTGCAATCGCTTTCAACTTGTCACTGTCTCTTAAATCACTACAATACATACACTAGGATGCGTATTTATGCTGGATATTAAACGAATGTGGTTGGTTATATTAGTATTCTTATTATTGCTAACTTAACTACATTATTTCGTATCTTTTACTTTCGCTAACAGACATGGGCTCGTCATTGTCAAGCTCTTTCATGTTCAAACATGTTAGATACTGTTCGACACGCTGTTCGAGATTATGTTCGTCGACATCCTGATATTGTGCCTTTATTACAAACTCGACATAATAAATTTGTTCTTATTGAAGGTTTAAAACAAATGCGAATTCTTTATTTCAATTTACCATTGATTGCAAACAATATTGCAAAGGATTTAGAAAAGAAAACTAAAATGTATAAAGGTAATTCGTGGTTTTGTGTATTCTACTTTTTTTTGCCTTGGTTATACAAAGTATGTGTTATTGCTACTTTTGAGGTGATTGCTTCGACTTCCAGTCCGTTTAGCGTGGGGAGTTGTAGGCCTATTTCTATCCTTATTAAAGCTCTCTAGGAACTAAATTACTTACCTTCTCGAGTTCAACCATTCTTACCTTAGCTGAATTCTTATGTTCCAACAATCTGATTACCCATGATCTACTAGTTTGACCTATGTAGTTGACCTCACAGTCATTGCAGGGTATTTTGTAAATTACATTATTTTGTTTAATTGGGTCCACCGGGTCTTTGAGTGAGTTTTTAGGTTTGAATGCTACCCTAATTCCTGGTTTATTAAGAATCCTACGTAGGGTCTCAGATGTCCCCTTCTTATATGGTATAACAGTAGATGACTTATATTCTTTCTTATTTATGTTGTCACTACTAGTTTCACAAATATTTTTAATTTGCTTTTGGCCTTTGTCGATCTTCCTATTGAATTTGGTAGGATAGTTTTTTAACACCAATGCCTCTTCCATCTGTTTTATTTTATCATTTAGGTCTTTTCTTGTGCTACTTAATGCTGTTGCTCGATTTGTTGAACACTTAACTAAGCCTGCCTTAACAGTTAATGGATGAGATGAACTAAAGTATAAATATCTACTAGAATGCGTTGGGTTTCTTTTTATAAACGCTAGTGTGTAGTTTACCTTCTTCTATTCGTTTTATTTTACAATCTAACATTATGGTTAATTCTCCTTGTTCATTTTCCGATTCAAATGTGAATTTTATTCCCTCCACTAGTGAGTTTACGTGTATCTCTAGCTCTCTAGGAACTCCTCACTGACAGATACGCTGTACACGGTCTGTGCAGTTCCGCTTACAAAACCACAAAATATCACTTCATTCCCAGGAAGCGTATTAACCATTTTCGTTAATAAGACAATTGTAAATTCTGTAAATATGCATTTGAAATCCTCCTAACTTTCCTAGTGTGTTACTGAGTAGCGGTATAAGTGGATAAGCACTCTCTAGGGAAAAAAAGAAAAAGGAGGGGAATCAATCATAACGTTGTTTGATTCATGACTATCGCTCGTATTCGTTATAGGAGGGAACTTGAAGGCTTTTTGAAGTTAGGGGAGTATAATCCAATATACTGTAGTTGTCTTTGTAGGCTGTTGTCGTTATATAACAACTGAGATTTCTGGACCCCTGTCTCGATTTCATTATGTCTGCAAGTTTTAAAAACTAATAACCCTCTCTGAGAATTTGATTCAATTCTGTATTTTCTCCTGTTCTTCTTCTTTTTTTTCAGCTGAAGCTAAAATATGGCAACAAATTCAATTGAAACTTGCCAGCTTACCACAAACAATTGACAATGTTTGCATGCCCCTTGTAAAGCGGATTAATCAGGGTCAATTATGCACTAGTTTGGACAAGAAAGATATTCTATCCAAACCGCTGCCTGACCTACTTCTACCATTTCAGGTATCTTGTCTATATCTTTTATATTCGTATTATTTTTCTTCTCAACTATGCATCACCTTAGCAGTACATAAACTAAGGGTACTTAGAGTGGATTGAACTTAGCGTTTATACCTCTCGTCAGTTGGTCAAGCAATTATTATTATTTATTATTGTTTCCTTTAATTCCTAGAGGAACATAGGGCTTCAGCCGCTCACGTCTCCATTGCGTTCGGTTCTCTGCTAGAGTCTTCACCTGACTCCAAGTCTGCCCACACGTTTTCATCTCCTCTTCACATGACCTCCTCCAAGTCACCCTCTCACTGACGAACAACTCGCCGCTTCCCTTTCAGCCGGGTTCCACTCGAGCAATGGCTTGTCTAGTGATGTCACTTGATGGTTTCCTCAGAGTATGGCCAATCAATCCATCTCCATTCCTTCCTGCCTATTTGTTTCACAATCGGTTCCTGGTTGGTTCGCTCCCAGAGATCCATCCCTGTTGCTGATCTTTTCTGGCCGGTCATCTGATCTTGAGTATTGAGCGAAGACAGCTGTTGATGAGGGTCTGTAGTTTGTTTGAGATGCTCTTTATGACGCGCCAAGTCTCTGATCCACATAGTAAGTAGCACTGACTTCCCATTGGAGTTGAAAATACGGATCTTATTTTTGATGCTGAGTGCTGTTGACCTCCACACAGACTTGAGAGTAGTGAAAGCTTGTCTTGCTTTTCCGATTCTTGCTTTGATATCCTCGTCAGTTCCGTCCGCCTGTATTTGAAACGATGCTTTCCAGGTAGGTAAAAGAATCTGTTTCTTTCAGGTTCCTTCCGTTTATGCTGATTGTTGTCTGTTGTTGTTGTTGTTGCTGTTGGTGGTGTTGGCCAGGAATCTTCATCACCTCTGTCTTCTCTATGTTCACCTGAATTCCCTCCTATCTTTGATGCTTCTTCTGCCAACTTGTTGCTTTTCGCTTGCATATCTTCCAGTTTGTGGGAAATTAGACATATATCATTGGCGAAGTTCAGATCCTCCAAGTTTTTTGTGTGAGTCCATTTCATGCCTGTTTCCTCATTGCCCGCTGTTTGTCGCATTATCCAGTCTACTGCAATCAGGAAAATCATTGGTGATAGTAGGCAGCCTTGTCTTACTCCTGTCCTAACTTCGAAGGATTCGGTGAGTTTCCCGTTGTGGGATTACTTGGCATGCAGCATTGTCGTACAGCTGTTTTGGCCAAGCAAAATGCTAACTATTTCTGTTTCCCTGTTTAATGAGTTTCAGTGTAGCCCAAATCTGAATAGTATGGTACTGTCAGTCGTATCAGATGAATGTTTGTGCACACCATGAAGTTTATATGTCCCTATGCACTTAGTAATAAAATATTTTCTTTACACACAACGATTGTTAATCTACCTTTATGTGGTTGGCCTTACTCTATCTGTCTCTCTATATCGTGAGTGTATGATGAATGCATTTTCAAGCGAAAAATGTTTACGCATTCCTGCGGATATTGATTTATGCAAATAGGATATTTTTTTGGTGTATCTACTACCACCTCATTATTCATAAAGCTACTTTCTCACAAACTTCGTGAAGTTCTGTACTTTATTTATGCTAATAGTCTTTTATTGCGGATTTGTTTGCTCACACTTTTGTTCATAATGGTTAAGTTCTATTTGAAAAACTAAGTGAAGTGCTTTACAGTCTTATAGACGGTTTCTTCTCTGAAGCCAGTGATACTACTATTCAAATACCCAATAGTGACAGCATGGAAAATGATCAATTTTTCAGTTCATACTGTTTTATTATGCACAGAATAGCAAGTCATTTAGATTTTTTTGATTGGTGTTCCGTTGATCTCTTTTAAAACACAATTCGTAAATCCAATTTGTTCTTATAATAAAATCCCCTTCTTTTCTCTCTTTGCATATTTTTTTTACAGAATTTGCTTTTAAATTTCCCTCGAGTTTTATTCCATCATTGGGTGGTAGCACATGCTGAAGTAACCGTGGACAAATTAACTGCTAATCGATCGAATAAAGTCAACCATGATTATATTTGCGAAAGAACAGATATGCTGGCCATTCTTCTGCATGATGCATTAATTCTACTGGTAAAAGATAGTGAACGTTATATTTTACGAGGTTTCAAAGCTGTACGAGAGCAAGGCGGTGGTGGTGGTAGTAGTAGCGGCAGTAGCAGCAGCAGCAACAGCAACAATAATTCTGGAGCTGGTGGTAGTGGAAGCGGTACAGAGCGTGCTTCAAGTTTTGGAACATCTGGTTCACTTGCTGAAAAAGATAGACTGAGTCTAGGTAATGTCTCCGGTCATTCTTCTGTCTCTTCAACTAGTTCACTCAGTTCTGCTATACCCAGTGGTGCAAATGTGCAATCACACACTAGCCTTGTATCGGCTGCCGCGAATGCTGCAGTTACAAGTATGACTGATCGATCTTCTGCGTCTGGAAGTTCAAAACTTGTACCTATTTTCCCGCTGATAGATGTGTTTACTTCATGTGGTGAAAAATTCGGTAAGTCTATTTGGTAAACTAGGAAATTTTCTCCCTAGTGATGATTTGCTTTATAACATTTTTTCCTAGTCTGCAATATTTGTGCAATTATTGTATTTCTATATGGTATTTAGAGAAATTCCATACTCAGTTGTTGGTTTTCAAAGTTGTTAATAGCTGGCAAGAATAAGTAAGCTTTAGTATACAGCATACAACGCATTGACGTATTATCCTATCCTAGTCATCGCCTTCCTCGACGGTCAATGTTAGCTGACATAGGATGGATCAGGCTGGAAAAGAGCTAGCGGCGGTCAAACGAAAAAAATGGCGCTAATCAATGAAATCCACAACAGTTAGTCTAGGCCACGTAGGAAGGTATAAACTTCCTGACTGGTTTGGGTCCTCGGGACTGTAAAAACCAAAGCTTGGAGACAATCAATGATATGGCTTAAAATCGTTCTCAATGGCGCAGGTGCATCCACTCCTTGTGACTTATGATTTCCAATGAAACTGTTTTGTTCTTCGTTATTACTATTCCTTTGTCTCACACCTCTGTTTACTGTCTCTAATATGCATTTCTTCTCTTTCTTTGTGTGCTACATGGAGGGAGTGTGGCGACTTGAACTGCTGCACATATGTGCAGAGTTCTATGTCGAAAACAGACAGACAGGCGATCCTTTTCCTTAAGAAAGTAGATTATTTGTGCTACAGGTATACAAATTCAGACACTCCTTGTGCCTAGTTTTGTTTGGATAGTAGCGCATAATCGTGTGTACAAACGTGTTTGAGGTTACTGGATTACATCAGTGTTGTTAACTGTTGTGAGCAGAACCTGCAATACCTCGTTAGACGGTTTCAATGAGCTTCTGCCTGACATTCTTGTTTACCTAAAAATTGAGTTCAATGAGAGTAAAGTTATAAATACATATAGTCGCATACACATGGATGAATTATAGTTTGCATGAAACTCAAAAGTGAGATTATAGTTTGAAAAGTCTAAAGCTTAGTTTTCAACAATCTCAGAAATTGATATGAGCTAAATCCTGTCTACCAAAATATGATTCACAGTTCAGCGAAGATAGAATAAGACGAAAACTAGTTCCGGATGTTCATCTTGGATCCCCTGACTGAATCACTATGGATTCAAAAAGCAGAGTGAATTAAACAAGTTTATATTAGGATGGTTGGAAGCAATCGGCAGGAAGCCCTGGACCTAAGTTTCATGCCAGTTGGCACTCGTCAAGGCTGCAGATACTCCTCGCTTACTAGTGAGTGCCAACTAGCACGAAACTTAGGTCCAGGGCTTCCTGTCGATTGCTTCCAACCATCTGATGCCATGATGGCGAGCCACTTAGCATGATGGGCACATTGCAAACTTAACTGATAGAATTCAGTCTGCACCGAAGATAGGACTAGACGCATTACACCAGTTACTGACTAGTATCCAGTCAAAAATATAAGCAAGTTTATTATTCACTTCCACCGATGAAAAAGACAGGAAAAAATACAGAATGATACTATGGATAGAATATTAACAGGTGTAACTCCATATGGTTTGCAAATAACTTGGGCATTAACAAATCCCGGACCATATCAGAACAAACCTTGGAAAGGTTTACCAACAAACAACAATGGTAGCCGATGTAATCATTTAAAAGTTGTCAACACCGTCTCACAGGTTCCACTAATTTGGTAGGTTAGTGTTTATACTGTGGAATGGTTATTTCATTTATTGAACATGATAACACGATATCATTTTATTAAGTTATTCTATATGTTAATATGTTAATAATATTTCTTTAGGCGTAGAGTGTTGGGCAAAGAGGGGAAAATCAATCGAAGAGGCTATAAAGTTACATAGATCGAGATGGCTAGGTCACGTGCTGCGCATGCCTAACCACCGCCTCCCCCGACGGGCATTACTAGCTGATACAGGTGCAGGTTGGAAAAGAGTAAGTGGTGCCATGCCAAACAAAAACATGGCATCAATCCATGAAATCCTTAACAGTTAAACTGAGTCAGGTAGGGAGATGCAGACTTCTTGGTTGGAGCCCTCGGGACTCTAAGAATCATTGGCTGGAGACACTAGGTGACATGACTCAAAATCGTTGTCAATGGCTTACGCAGATGTATTCAGTCTCTGTAATCTTTTATATGCCTTTCTACCATTACTCATTCTGTTTCACTCTTATACTTGTCAAAACTTTATTGATTCTCTTCACTCATTTTCTTGTCTGCCTTCTTTGTGTGCTATTTGGAACGTGGCAACTCGAACTGCTGCAATTCGGTGCCAAGTTCTATGTTGAATCCAGACACATTGATATTGTAACTGTTTTTGGGTTGTATGGACAGCTGACAAAAGTCAATGCAATAAGCTCATCAGTTGTGCATGTGTCATTAAAAACCTCTAAGATCTGAGTTTGTCAGATATTATTTTTAATCGTTGAACTATTTAGTGATACTCAATGTGTTGTCTTTCAATACCTTGGAATCAAGAAATCCAGCTGAATCATATTATTTGTTGTTAGGTCAGAGGTATGGCTTCCCTACTTGTCGATGTTCATAATCGGTAAACATCTGTGATCTTGAAAACCGCTTACGTTTTCTCTGAGATATTATACTCCGGATCATCGTCTCCAAATACCTTCTTATTTTAGAATATAGTTTAAAGTTAAAGCATAAAGAACCAAAAGGACGACTGATAAAGTGATCTTGAAACAATCAGTGAGAATTGTGTCATGCGACATACCTCTCTGAGCAGAAATATGAATTCTATTCACAAGTTGACAGACAGTTTGAGTAAATAATAATCTTTACGGTAACTCCTTCACCAGCTTCTGTAGTTATCTATATATCTTATTGTCGATATTGATAAGGAAGTTACCGAAAAGATTACCTAATGCTTTTGCCTTCTAAATGGGATAGTTTTACTGTGTATTATAATTATTTAAATCAATAATCGGACTTTATATGTTACTTAGAATAACAATTTCACAGTTATTTACATTTTTCAGAAAATTTTTAAGAACACTAATTGATATTGTTATTATTGTTATTGTTATTCAAATGTCATTATTACTATATTTTACATTGCATAGGTGGTGATCATTTGTTGAATATTGTTTTCATGAAACAGACAGTTCTTATCCGGTTATTGTTTTCCAAAGAGGATGAACGACAGAAGTGAGTTTTTTCTTGCTGTGTTTTGTTTTGTCTTTCCCCTTTTTCACTCTAAGTATACACAACTAAAGAGCTGAAATCATACAATGTAATATTTGTTATATATGTTTATTAAACAAATATTGATGCGCTTACGTAATGCTTATCGTATTAAATAACTTTTCTGTCCAAGCCTAATCCGAAATACTCTACCTAAATATAAAGAAATATTAAGTTCTGAAGATACTGGTTTTATGTACACATATTGGTGATCCGGTGCTAGAATACTCGCTAACGACGCATGTGGTCCAGGTTCGATCCCCAGCCAAAGCACCCCTAAAACTTACCTAGCTGGTAGTTAAGCCCAGTAAAAAGGAAAATTTACGCGTAGGACTAGCAACCACACTCTTTAAAGGAAAGCATCACTGCTACTGAAACTTCAAGGCTCAAGTTTAAAACCCTATGTTCCATTTGGATCTCAAACCGACGAAGAAAGACACTTCAAAAATCTTACTCTTATAATCTATATTAGTATTCAAGTGTTGGTTTGCAGGTGATTGATTGGTTACAAGATTTCATCATGAGTTGATGTCGGTTAGAAAAACATTGGAAAATCTGGGAATACTGGGCAGCTACTTCGTCTTAGTTTGGGACTCTTCAATAGTGCGCACCCAACGGGGTCCTCGCCGATGGTGGTCGCGCTATACCGTGAATTGGCAGAAGTTGGATTCTATGGGCTGGCTATTGGGTTGGATCCCAGTGTCTTAATGGTCTATAAACTCGTCTTCTAACCCGAAGGTTCTGGGTTCGGCCCTCTATGGTGGGTGCGTGCTGATGAAGAGTCCAAAACTAGGACGAAAGGGCTGTCCAGTACTCCCTTGCAGGTTTTCCAATGGTTCTCTAAACAATGTCCGCTCACGACTTTAATATTGTTACAAAGGTCTCGTATGTCGTTGTTCAGACGCTAAAGACAGAAAACTAGCTGATAAACATATGCTTTCAGCGAATTATAAGGCGGGTATTCCTTAGGTATATCTCGTAAAGGTGATATCTGTGTGCGTCGATGGCATAGTGGTTAGGACTCTCGCCGATCATGCACATGATCCGGGGTTTGATCCCCTGCTGACGCACACCCGATATCTATGGTCGGCCTGCAAAATTTGGGCTACCGATATCCATGCTGAAAATTCCATACTTGTACTGAAAATACGGGGTGGCATCAAGCTGCAATCAAAATTTAAAAAAAATAAATAATTATCCATCGTTTCGTTCAATAATACTGTCATTCTATACCTGGAACTCAAAGTCCTCTACACAAATATGTATTCGATTACTATTTGTCGCTTTTATCCTCATGTTTACTTGACGGTTGGTGTATTTGTCAGTTATTTATTAACTACTGAATATTGTTTCTTTATATCGTTATAGTCGCTGACCTTTCAACAAATAAGTGAATACTGTACAGATAATTTCATACACATTATTTTTTTTGCTTGAAAATTGTTAGATGGGCAGCTCACATCCAAGAAAATAGTGTTACTACCCAGAGTATCGATAGACAACGTGTACTGAAGCCTACTACACCATCCGCAACATCAACACCAAGTCAACAATCTATTGACTTACCATCTGAATCTCTAATCCCTAAGAGTTCAGATATTACACCTGTTGTCAATGAAGCTACTGTCGTGACTCCTCAACCATCAACAGAAGATTTAAAGACTTCATTCAATATGCTGTCTACTGCAGAACCTACTACTTCTGCAGAATTACTTGCTAATGAAGATAAAACTATTATACAAATTAATGGTGGTAACAGTGATGGAATTTGTTCACCAGAAGAATCAACTGTATTTGTGGATAAATTACAAACTGCTATGAGTAAGTCTGTTCATATTTAAATGAAGAGTATGCTTCAAATATCTCTTAGTCTATCTGTCTGTCTGTCTGAATTCAACATAGAACTTGGCACCAAAGTGTAGCAGTTCGAGTTGCCACGTTCCAAATAGCACACAAAAGGTAGACAAGAAAATGAGTGAAGAGAATCAATAGAGTTTTGACAAGTATAAGAGTGAAACACAGTGAGTAATGGTAGAAAGGAATATGAAAGATTACAGAGACTGAATACATCTGCGTAAGCCATTGACAACGATTTTGAGCCATGTCACCTATTGTCTCCAGCCATTGATTCTTAGAGTCCCGAGGGCGGGCCCCAACCCGGAAGTCTACATCTCCCTACCTGACTCAGTTTAACTGTCAAGGATTTCATGGATTGATGAGGCCATGTTTTTGTTTGGTCACCACTTACTCTTTTCCAACCTGCACCTGTATCAGCTAGTAATGCCCGTCGGGGGAAACGATGGCTAGGCATGCGCTGCACGTGACCTAGCCATCTCAATCTATGTAACTTTATAGCCTCTTCGATTGATTTTCCCCTCTTTGCCCAACACTCTACGCCTGATGTCAACATTACTTACCTTATTATATCACCTAACGTGAGAAAGAGATCGTAGACATCTATGATCAAAAACAGTCAACCTTTTCATGTCTTCAACTCGTATTGGCCATGTTTCAGAGCCATAGAGAAGGACGGAGCGAACTGATGAGCAGTACACACGTCCCTTGGTTGATAGTCGGATGTCACGCCTACGCCAGAGATGGCGTAAGTTAGCGAAAGCAGCCCGAGCTTTTTGGACCAGTGCTGAGATTTCGTCACCAATCAATCCGTTGGTGCTGATACAACTTCCCAAATAGGTGAAATTAGTGTTAATCTATCACTATTATTATTATTGATATCCTTGAGTGTTATGTCATTCTCTTAACATTCACATGTCTACACATTTATAGCTGCTAATCAGCGACTACATATAATGAAAACATGATAAGAAATGTGTTGGTTGTTTGATTTGCATTCTAGGAAATTAAGGTAATTCAGTCGATCAGGTTGAGTCGGCACGGATTCAAATAGTTTCAGTACACTAACATTCATCATCACAGATTTATATTAGTTGAACTTTTATTGAGAACCTAATGCACACAACCCATTCAAGTTCAATTGATCAGTTTAAAGTATTGTATATATTCATTTTGTCCTAGAAAAGTAGCTACATAGAGTGTGGGGCAACTCGAACTACTGCAAAACTGTACAAAATCCCACTTTGAATCCAGTCAGCCAGAAAAGTAGCTAGACGATACATTTTTCAGGTTTTCCAAAGTGGAATAAAATGAACTTTTTATCGCTTTTATGGTTGATTTGTTGAAGATTATCTTTTGAACAATTCCCTAAAGTGTAATAACGTGGTGGTCGATATCCAGTTTATAAATAAACCAATCAGAATTGGCCCACGTAAAATAACGCCTACTATCTTATTGATCATGACTTGGTGATACTTTGAATCATACGTTGTTGTGTAAGTATACTTACTTCCCCTTATCATCTTTGGTGTGCTCTCTCATAAGTTGCGGGTTGAGAGATCGGTTAGCCGTTGTTTATATGTTATTGGCGTAGACAAGTGATACTCGTGATTACTGAGTCTGTCACCAGCTCCGCTTTCCTATATTCAACTCAACGTTTAGCAATATATAATATTATCATACTGGTCGTTGTACACATGAAATTCTATAATATCAATACCTAATAGTATCTGTTTTATCCTTCTATGAATAGAGTGTAGTTGAAGTGTTTTTTGCACCTTAATAAATAGATTGAGGAATGTATTATGCCAGTTATTACTGTCATTATATCTTCCTTTCTCATTATTATGAGGAATTTGCGTTTTTATTCACCATAATAAATATGTAGGTTTTTGAAAGTTTTGTGTACACCCTGCTGTTACTAAATGGATTTGAGTGTCAGTAACAACTCTTATACATTAACATGCTAGAAAGTGCATGAATCTTGTTGATGTGTTAAGTAATCATAGTATCTGAAACTGTGAGTATTTGAATAGGAATTTCATGTCAACAATCATAACTAAACAAATCAATACTTTGTTTAATTTGCTAAGTAATATTATTAAGCGCTTACTCCAAAAGCTTTTTCACATTTACATCCAATTGTATTATCATAATTACTGAGGAGATTGACATATTGTGCAATCAGGGGTTAGAAATGTAGAAATAAAAACAATAGACAGGATGTTTGGATAAAAAATCTAGTGAGATCATAACTAATGTGACGAATAATTGTTTATGCAATCAGGGATTAAATATGTAGAAATAATAAAGTAACAAAACAGACAGGAAGTTCGGATATGAAAATATGGTAGTGTAAATAGGGATTAAGAAAAACTTAAAATAACATGAATAAACAGGAAGTTTGGATGAGAAAGGCAATGGGATAGTCACTATTAGAAGAATTACCTGTTTATGATGGCCACAGCAGGGACAAGGGTTGAACGTATTTCTTTTGCACACATAGCGTGGGTTTGAGCTTCTGGATGGCTAGTGCCTCGGCTATTTTTTTTTTTGGTTACAGCTTGATGCCACACCGTATTTTCAGTACAAGTATGGCATTTTCAGCATGGATATCGGTAGCCCAAATTTTGCAGGCCGACCGTAGATATCGGGTGTGCGCCGGCAGGGGCTCGAACCTCGGACCATGTGCATGGTCGGCGAGAGTCCTAACCACTGTGCCACCGACGCACAGATGTCTTAATTTCACTCCCTTTGATTGGTTTGATCGAATCTTGTATATTATTTTGAAGGATTTTTCGAATGGCGCTGAATGTCCTGAATTGACCAGATATTCTGTCACTGAACTATATACACGTTTTCGTTCTCCTTTTACTAGCCAGGCTGGATAGTGTTCACAAGCGCGTTTTTCAAGTTGGCGCATCGTACGGTCCATGTACTCAGCTCCGCAAGACCAAGTAAACTGGTATATGCACGTTGAAGTGGCCCAGTGCAACAGCTTGTCTTTCGCGTTCTAAATGAACAGTTTCTTGCAGGAAAACGTTAGTCGTAGGTTCGCAGTGAAGTATGTTTTCCTCAGAGATTTGCAGAAGCATTTACGAAGGATTTCTGCTTCAGTGTCACCTTTGAATTCTAGATTAAGCAGAAGTATCTTCTTCGGGACGGATTGAACTTGTTCGGAAGTCTTCTTTGATTTGAGGTTCTTGTCTATGAACCTGGGCGGGACACCGTTTTCCATCAGGGTTCTTTGGAGATTACTTAGTTCTTCATCAATCACCTCCTCGCTGCATATCTTCTGAATCCTCGAGGAAAGAGCGTATATCAGATACCTCTTTCTGCTTAGGGGAACGAAGAATTGAAAATTGATGAATTGTCCAGTCCATATGGGCTTTTTGTAACACGATGCTGATATTCAACCAAGTTTTTGATGTAGTTGTACTACTAGTGTCAAATATCCAGCACAGTCCTACAGGAGGTCAGTCGCGAGCCTGAATAGCTCAGTGGTAACGTCTCTGACTGCAGCACTGGGTGACGCGGGTTCGAATCTCAGAAGAGACATCAGTTCCTTCAAGGTTGCAGATACGCCCTGCTGATGAGTGCCAACTAGCACGAAACCTAGGTCCAAGGCTTCCTGCCGATTGCCTCCAACCATCTAATACCAACAATTCACAGTGCACCGTAATGGCGAGCCACCTAGCATGGTGGCCACATTGCAAACATGACTGATAGAATTCAGTCTGCACCGAAAATAGGACTAGACACATTACACTAGTTACTGACTAGTGTTCAATCAAAAAAAGTTGTACTACTAGAAAACAGTCTTCACATGCTTCTTCAATGATTATCGTTCATAGTTGAAGTTTAAATAATCTTCTTTTCATAATACAGATGAAACGATTAGTCAGAAATTCTTTAACTTCTTAACATACATGAACTCTGACCGGTTGCTTATTGTGTGTTTGGAAAAGGTGTAAAGCCCACTACTCCTGCATATATTAATATAATTAAACCAGAGTAATCAGCATAATGTTACTTTGGTTTCTGGTAACGAGCAGTGGGATCTAGGATAAGCTTTCAACCCTATTTGTGACTCGCTAAGTGGATATACTTGCGATCTTTAGTTAGGTGATGATGTTCCCACTGAAACTCTAACCACTGCACTCATCGTTTCAAACCCCAAAGTTTTATCGACTAGGCTACAAGAGCCACCTTTTGTGCAACAAGTATCAGTAGGATGAGGTATACATCATGGATTCCACTGCTGGCTAGTCATCGCCAACCAAAATAATATTCTGTTAATCTTCAAACATTGTGGAGGCGTTCGTACTAAGAGCTGATACTGTTAACAGGGTCCTAGTATTAGATGGTTAGAGGCAATCGGATGGGAGCCTTCGACCTAGTTTTCGTGCTATAGTTGGCACTCACAACTCAGCAAGGCGTATCTGCAACCTTGAAGGAACTCATGTCCCTTCTGAGATTCGAACCTGCGTCACCCAGTGCCGCAGTCAGTCCAATCAAAGGGTCCAAGTAGTTCAGTCCGAAATAATCATGCAAATTAACCTAAGCAAAGTGACTAACTTTTCAAAGGTTAATTCCAATTATAGTAATTTTTTAGAAACTAAATAGTATCATATAAAACAGCTAACTTATGCTACATAATAATAATAATTATTATAATTATCTTATCTGTTTTCGTTTCTGTCTAATTAGTAAATAGTTCACATTTGTGTTACGATATTTTGTCAGATTGATAAAACCTTACGATACACGTGGGAATATTTCACGTTTAACTTGACTAAATTTTTCTTTCTAAATATGTATATGTACATCTGTATGTCAGCTCATGGTGAAATTCCTCCAACCAATCAAACTAAATCCCTCCAAAAACCAATACTTGAAAATACATTTGATGCTCACTGGCGACTGGCCTTATTCAGACAGTGACCTAGGGTTCTAGTGCGAAGCCT